CACCAGGCGTGATTGTGGCCGTGCCCACTGCCGTGAGAGGGTGGTGGCGGTGTTGGTGGGAGCTTTCCAGGTTGATGGATTCCTGGACGGAGCAGAACTCCTCCATGTGGCGGGGGATGGTGATGGCTCCCTTCTGGTCCAAGCCAGACCCTCCTCGGCCTTCTTGAGGAGCTCCACGAAGCGCGAGTGGTTCACGTGCATCACCGGTATCACGGACCTCCGCCTTTTCTCCTCGCCCTGCCCCACCAATCACCGCCAAGCATCTCTTTCGGCACGTCGTGATCATGCCGCGGACAGTGGTGGTGGTGGAGGTGTGGCAAGTGCAAGTGGTGTCGAAATAATTTGTTAGCATAAAGGATGTGACTTTTGATTAAGAGAAGATGTGATTCTTGATTATGAAAAGATATGACTCTGGTCCTAAAAAGAGGCTATTGGTTATTATGAAAGGAAGTTATTCTTAACATAAAGAGTGGTGATGATTGGGGATAAGGTACTTATTCCCAATATATGCGTTGATTGATTGTCTGTGAATATGGACAAAATCACATATCATTTATTATAACCGCAACTGTTTATAACTACAATTTCTTCGGAACTTTCTTTTCCTCTCTTTTCATATACGCAACTTTAACTACACATTCAAAGTGAAATTCCAAGAGAGAAATTGAGTAACTGCTGAACTCGTTTCTTTTCGGTTTTGGTATATATCCTGGAAGTATATTAGTTCTAAACCCGGCCGTAACAATAGTAGGTGCAAATAATATCTAAAGAACCGTGATTGTCATCACATATTAAAGCATTAAGGATATGTTACTACATCTCTATCTTCATCAGCAATCAAATTTCCCCAATAGGTGGAACAACTTGTCTCCACTTTCCATCGCCGGCCGCTAAAAGAGAGAGAAACGAAAGAAACTGGAAGAGAGTGAAGGAGGAGTCGGTGAGGGCTCATGTGAGGATGAGACTTCATGGACGGCTATCCCATGGGTCGTTTGCTTTATGCAAGTGATGAACCCCAAATCAAGGAAACAAGGCTGATGTCAAATAAAGAAATGACTTAACAATCCAAATAGAACATAAATGTGGAAGAAGAGAGTTCGAAATGAGAAAAAATTTTGGATTAATATTTAGGATTAATACCACGATAAAACCCCAAATTGATACATTTGCGATAAATTTACCCCAAACTAAATTTTTTACCATAAAAAACCATAAATTGCTGCACCTGTGACAGATTTATTCTAAACTAACCCAAAACTGGTACATTTATGATAAATTTACCCTCCGTTAAATTGAATTAATATAATGAAAAACTACAAAATGGTACACCTGTAACAGACGGAAGGTAAAATCCCAAACTGGTACACCCGTCAATTACCACTTGTCATCTAACTCGGAAATTTAACGGTAAAATTTAACGAAAACTAATAGAGGGTAAATTTGTTATAGATGCACCGGTTTGAGATTTTTTGTGGTCAAAAAATTAATTTGTACTAAATTTATCACAAGTGTACTGATTTAGGAATTTTCCGTGGTATTAAGCCTAATATTTGCCGGTCAAAACAACTGATTTCTCGCCAAATTGCTTGCCGAATTGCTTGATTATAGCAATTATCGCAATGTTGAGTTGACTTGCCGTGTTGCTGTGAGTTTGGGTAATTCGTTTGTTTCGTAATCATAGTTAAAATGAAATTACTTTTGAAGATATTTTGAAGCAAATCCGGAAAAGAACAGTTCACAAGCATTGGGCCAAATTCAACTCTTGGCTTCACTTGTCATGGGCCGTTCACCCAGAAACGACACCGCTTAAAGCATGAAGTCATCTTCTTCACCATTCATCAACCACCCTATGGCATTATGATAACAAGCTCCTTTAAATAAAAAACCAAGTCTTTTATAGAAAATTCTCGGAAGATAATTGATACAAAATTCGTTGTAAGATTGTTTGAAGTTTAAAAGAACGGTGCTTTGACATACATTTTTATCTGGAAAAAATGCAGATTCGGTTTGTTTATATTCTTATTTCGCCGGAATTGATCCCTTGGACACGAGGCTCAATTAAGCTGTGTCTCGTACATGTGGAGGACGGGTATTTCTCCCTCCGCAAGAAAGCGGAAGTGAACAAACCCGACAATGCTTACAGTCTCCGACATGCTATCAGTAACTTCCTTTTTTTCCTTCGACCACCGACGGCATCCCGTCAGCTGCGGCATTCGCAATATCGTGAACAAATATACAACGTGCTTCGGAAGCAACCATTTCCCGGCGCTTCACCTTCTCCTTTGCAGGGCACTTGGCTCCGACCCTCCATGTTTGCCTGCAGACTCAAAGCTAACAAAGTTTAACTCCATAAGAAAAGATTCGCAAACTGGCTTGAGGCAAGGAAAGAGAACCTTTTCCCTAGAGTTTCGGAGAATCAATGCTGAAAACTTAAAAAAAGACTTCAGCTTCCGGTACCTCATGCCGGTTGTATGGGTACTGCTTCACAGAAGAAGATAATCTATCTTCACGTTTTGAATTTTGGATGAGAGGAATTCATTTTGAATTTTGGATACAAATAAAAAATTGGAAAATTGTTATTTGGAGTTTTTGGATTGTCTGATGATATCAGCTCTCATCTTTCTTGTAGTTTGCCCACAGGAAGTGCATTCAAAGGTGGTACAACAAAAAAGGTCACATTAACTGTGAGATTTGCAGCCATGTAGGACTGCATCTTAGCTTCTTAATCTATATATGATGAATATGCAAATTCACATATAAAAGGTCTGGTTTTCTATGTGATAGGTTTTTTCTCCAAATTATTCATTGCCACCTGCCACCATCAGTCCCGATCTTGTGGCCATTGATGTCAGGTAACTTGTAAGCTTCATAAATAACATAAAATCCCTCTATGGAGCGTACTTTCCACGTTAGTTGGCCACCAATGTCTAGATATGCTTTATTTTAACAATCTACAATCAACATCTTCTACCATCTTAGAGAAAGCAATTAATTGTAGGGAGACATGCTCTTTTGCATGTTATAAGGATTTTACTTACATGTTTTTTAGCTTTTGATTTGAAACTTCTTATTCACTTCCATTGTTGGTTTTGTTTTATGTAAGAGGGAGATAATTTGCTTGGTTATTGATGATCAAGAAAATTGCAATCTTTTCCTCGTATCATTCCTCTGGTCTCCTCCGGCCTCATTATTGTTTCTCATTTTTTGTTGTCTCATTTCTCTTTTTATCTATATTGGGTAAAGAATACACATTCACAGTAACCTGATAATTATTGGTCTTACTCCAAAGCAAAATCAGCTTAGTGGATGCCCCCTGGGGAAAACTTGATAATGACCAAGGCATCGACAGCCACTAGTAATCCACAAGAATATTACTTTCTTTTGAGTAGTCTCTCATTTACTTAATCTCTTTCCGTCTTTCAACGCATTAAGTTCTAAACATTGTGAATACACGTTATGTGAACCAAGTAGCTTTTATCTTCAACTTATTTATTTGAAACTTTTTCTTTTATATAAAATCTCTTTGCAATAGCATCTAATTCCAAGCTATGTTATTCTTGTTAAAGCTTATTAGTAAGGGAAGAAGTTGCATATGCTAATGTAGTGTGTCATGTCATATAATTTCTGGCATTTTTCCCAAGTAAATAAATTGGTCTCCCAATGATGTATCATTTGTAAGTGTATGGTGGAGATATTCTTCTACGTGCTATTCACACTGTTGCTTGTGCTCTCGTTAGGTTGTCTGATCTGGTAGATTCACACATAAATAATTCCCTCTTAATACCGCACCGTACTTTAGCTTGAAGTGAGATCCCAGGGTTGTACCCGACTCTTCTGCAGAATATTTGGACGCTATGACTGGTTATGAATCGAACATAACTTCTGATTCCAGCTTTAATCTCTCATGTTCCAAGTTGTCAAGTGAAAACCCTCCTAGTTTCCCCATCGTTTTTGTCCAACCTTGTTCCATTTCACTGAATTACCAACCTGAAATTTCAGCTGCAAAGTGGATATAGATTCATAGCATCCTGCTCATCTTAGCTGATGGTGTCATGCCTTTGCTTGTCGCGTCTCTTCATGCTAAGGTCATAATGTTTAATTTTGGATATTACTGTCTGTCGCATCTATGATTCGCCATTATGTGTCCTTGCCGAGCATTTGTTGCCTAAGATATTGTGTGCTCCTGTCGATTAGGCGAGCATGGGGCCCACATATCAATCTCCGTGATTCTCATCTATAGCGCTAACTGCTGCTGAAAGGCAATTTCTGCAATCTGACTTCGAAGAGTATGCTGTTGAAAATAGTAGCAGCATTGTCTGCCTCCGAACCGTGGCTCTCGTTGTAAGTGATCGGAACAAGGATTTTTCTATCGGTTATTGCCTTTATCAGGAAGTAAACATCGATCATTAATTGGCAGTTGTTGATAATTCTACTTCTACGCCAAGCTCTCACGATTACACGAGAAACTGGAATGGTGCAAGAATCGTCAATGTTTTTTTTATGTAAGTCTCCAATACCAATGATGCTTTAGAATGCACAAGTGTGCCTGCAACTTGAATATAGCAGCACAATTTACTTTTTCATCAGAATTGTTTTCTCAACAAATAGTGTACATGATTGGGGGAAAAATCGTGCTATGTGGGGGCAGCAGATGTATTTCGGACCTTCGAATATTTTGATATCCTTACGTAGGTTATTTTGCATTCCCTTTTCTGCCGTCATTACATGAGTGAAGTTGCGTAGGTGAGTGAGCTGAGCAGTTTGGCAGACTGTAATTACTTCCTGCGATTTTGAAATGATAGATGTGTACCCTGCCTTTATAGGTCCCTATTGAATTGAGGTGTTTAGAATTAGGGCTGAGCGCGGTTCCCGAGTAGAACCGGGAACCGCAGAACCGAACCGGCGGGTCCGGTCCGGTTCCCGGTTCCATGAAGAGAGGGTCCGGTTCCCCATTTTTAGGAACCGGGAACCGGGATCCCTAAAACAGGTTTACAATTATTTTTTGGTCCTATCTTTCCCTTCAGTTTCACTTCCACCCGCGAGCATTTCTGCCATTCTCGCGTTCCGCTAGGGTTCCGGCGGGCTCCCACCGTCTCTCCTCGGAGGTGCAATTCCGGCCGTGCTTCTCGCTCGCTCGCTGGAATGCTCCGCGCGAGATTGCCAGCGACATGGACAGCAAGAAGTTGGTGCGAAGCGTCCTGGAGTCGTTCCTCCTCTCCGACGCTGCGGGCGAGGACGAGGCCAGGGCGGCCAACCTGACGTCCGAGGGGAGGCTGACGAGGTCGCCGTGGAAGCACCGGTGAGGGAAGTGAAGATGGAGCTCGGCGAAAGTGGAGGACGCGTCATTTGTGAGGTTGAAAGTGAAGCCCTATTGCATTGTAGAGAAAGTGAACTTCTTGGTCGTCACTTAGTTTTTGTCTGCTAATTCATGGCGAGACTGCATAAATTGTGATCGAAAGCCATGGCTGTCTGGGTTTGCGAAGAGGTGCCAATATGTATTTCTTTGAGGTTCGGATTGCGCACGCACAAGCATCTCTTGTACCGGACAGTCAAAAAGGCGAAGATGATAGTTCTACAAAAGCTTTATCAGATGCAGTCTCTTTGTTAGCTGAAGAAAATGGGATTGTAGGCAAATTTGAATTGTAGCTGTCTAGTTTGCTGAGGCTAACTTAGGGAGCATGAAAGAGGAATCCTTACTCTAGTAGCCCTGTGGCTGCAAGTAACATCTGAATAAGATTGGTGAAGAGTAGACAAAGTGCAATCGGCAGTGCTAAATCCAATATTGTAGATTCTCACTTGGCAGTAGTAGATAAGTGCAAAAGGCAGTTTTAAATCTAACATTTTAGATTCTCACTTGGTGGGTAATGTCTCTCCTTGGATTTTTCGTGGTTTTCCTTGATTGGCAATTGGGACTTAGCTCTAGAACCTCTAAAGGCTCTACTTGTGTTGCCGTTAAAACAGTTGGTACTGACTAGTGACATTTTCATTATATTCCTCTTGTGGCTGACTGATTATTCTGCATTCTGTGATTATATAAGCCACATCAACAACTTTTAAATCGTCATTTGATATTGGTGTAGCTTTCAGATAGGAGGTATGTGACTCTTCAAGATCATAACGGCACAAATATGGTATCGATAAGGGACTACTATATCAAAGATGGAAAGAATTTTCCCAGTGCTAAAGGTGATTGCACACATTCTCTCCTCTATCTAAATCTACAACGATGCTCGTCTTTTTATTCTAGCTGGTTCAGGTATAATAATTGTGAGTGGTCTTTCTTACTCTTTGCTGCCTGTGAGCTTTCCTAAGGTTTGATGACAATGGTTTATCTGATCACTGATTGATGCTGCATATAATTGACACTTGTGTTTATGTCGTCAATATCTGCAATTCCAACTGCTTCAGTGGCTTTTGCTAAAAGAGTATGTTTGTCTCAGTATAATTCTTTGGGTTTCTATCAACACTGTGTCTCTCTTTCTCTTGTATTGACTCCATAATGCTGCTCTTTGCGTAAAGTTGTATAAATGTGTTGTGGTGGCCTCTGAACCTCTAACTATAAATATTTACTGTAATGTGCTGAGATTGAAATCCTATAGCAAGTCAACTCCTTTATAGCTTTCTATGGGTTTGCATTGGCTGGGGAATTGTTATATGTGTAGAAGACAACAAAACGTCAAATATGATCATATTATTGAGGTAAGAGATTCATGGAAGTTATGAGTGTGAGATGAGCATAGTAAGTAAGGAAGTGTCTGATATACATTTACTTACCCTTTTCTCTATATCTCCAAGCATTAGAGCACTGTTGCACAGATGGGTCTCTCTTTCTCTCTCTCTGCTCATCCAACATCCATTACCTTCGTCTCAAGCCTATATGGAAGGATGACACATCCGTGAACTATGTGAGAAGATTAGTATAACTTATCTTTAGGTCCAAGAACTGTTTTTACTTATTTGTTATACTGCCTAGTCATAAATGTTAATGCTGTACATTGCTAGCTTACTTTTCTTTTGTCACACTAGATTTTTGTAGTCCTGTATGTTTTTCTGAATTTTATAAGCATTTTGGTCCATATTTTTGCTGGATCTGTAGTTTTCCCTTTTTTGCCATTGAGCGTGTTTATGCAAATGTTAATGCCTGTTCCAATGCATTCTAGGAATTAGCTTAACAAAAGACCAGTGGTCAGCTTTGAGCAGTAGTCTCCCTTCTATAGAGGAAGCCATTAAAAAGATGGAGTCAGAATTAAGGTGAGCCACCATAGTCTTTGTGATTTGATGATCACCCACTTGCCCAGAAATTCTTATAGTTTGCAACTTATGAAGAACACACTTCCTAGAGAAAGATCATGGTTAGCGGAATAGTTTTATCCAATTGTACATTTATTTGATTTCAGTTTGTCATCTTTAAGTGTTTGAGGTTGCTTCCTCCTTGATCTTTACAACGAAGTGGGAATATAGGATATGTGATTTTGCCCGTGTTGTATATGCTTCTCTTGTTAAGCATTTTCTTGTGGGTGGGTTTGGGATGTGATTATGTGGAAATGGTGATCTTTCGTTTTGATTAACTACAACTGAAAAAAAAAAAAAAAAGAACCTGTTAGAACCTGGAACCGACCCTGGAACCTGTAACAGGGTAGGTTTCAGGTTCCATGTTCTGACGGGTAGGTTCCAGGTTCCAAAAAATACAGAACTTGTACCCGAGGGTAGGTTCCAGGTTCCAGATTCCAGGTGGAACCTGTAAGGAACCTGGAACCGCTCACCCCTATTTAGAATAGCACTTATAGGATTGAAAATGAAACTTTTTGGGAACAACTGTGAGTTTTGCTATGGCAACATTTGTAGTTACTATTTCCAATCTAGATTGATTCCGTTTTATTGAAGTTGTTGCCGCTTACAAAAGAGTGCATGAGTATGTGCTTTAATTTGGTGAGACAATTTGATCATGAAAGTCTGGATATTAATCTATTAATTGTGATCATAGTCTGGTCAGCCAAGCTCATAAGTTCATGTTGTAGGCTTTTAGCTTTTAAATCAATGAAAAAATGCGAACGAACTAAGTGCATTGAACTTTTCAGTGATAATAATCTCTCTATGGACTAGTTTTTACAGCATGAAAGCTAATTGTAATATTGGAAATTCAGTTTCAGGTTTCAGTTCTTCAGTTTGCTGGTTTTCTCTTGCCATGCTACGTAATGGCCAGATCTTGGTACATACAAAGCCGTAGGAGACAGGTACACCATTCTGTTTCACTTGACTGAATAATTAATTTGATGTTGAGAGCATTATGGATGACTTGATGACAAACGAAAGATGTGGTTTCTTTATGTCACCTTATGTAGACCAGGAATTAAATACCGTTGCATCGCAACTGATCAAAAGAGTGTTGATAATACATCACAGGATTGCTCAAAGATACTCGTGTTGGGGGTAAACAAAAGAAGGAAAGAGAAGATACATTTTTCAGTTAACTGCAAATTTCCCCACCTTAGTTGTCTCACCCATCCTCTATATCTTTGCAAATATTCCCTTAACCTATGGGAATAGTATTTTTTTTTTTTTTGCAAATAGGCCCTTGTCTTTTAAATCTTTTAAAATGCCTTCCCAACCTTTTGAAACGAAAGACTCCGTTACGTTTGTGTTTTTGTCTTTTTCCTGTCAGTGAGAAGGAATGCGCCAAAAATCTTGAAAAGTTAAAAATGCCATTTAGAACTTTTTTAAAGAGAAAGATTTGCATTTTCTGCCTAAATGATTGATTTTAGCTCTAATATCTTTGAATTCTTAAATATGTGAAGTTACAAATATTTTTTGGTAGCTTGAATTGGTAATCATGGGATTATTTACCTTCAGTAATGCATTAATATACCTTATTTTTCAAAAAGTTTGAAATTTTGAAGCAAAATACCCAGTTTCACATTTAGGTCTATCTAAGAATCTTTTAGTAATTTATGTATTCAAATGTAGCTTGGTAACAGCTGTGCATTCATCAAGCCAAAAACAAGAAATTTACTTATTAAGACAAAATAAAACATAAAACGAATAAACAATGGTACGATCAATCAATAACTTCTACAAAATTGAAAAATAACATAATTAAGAATTCCACTAGTTTTTAGTGGAAAATGCACATGTTAACATGTTTTAAATGGCATTCTTTAAACTATCTATCCTTTTTATGTCAATCTAGGCAGACGGAAAATACTATTAAATATGGTAGTGGAGGTCTTTGCCTATTCTGAAGGTTGGGGGTACTTGTCAAGAATTAGAGGGCAGAGGTTTTTGCATATTCCTCAAAAATTGGAGAGAATTCGTAATTAACCTTACATTTTGACAGATTACTAAACAGGATTCTTTGTGTCTAAATAAGGAGATGTGTACATGAAGATTTGATGACCTCCTTTCTCAAATTAATTCAGTTTTTACTGCCACTTTTAGCTCCTTTTTCCCTGATGCTGGTTTTGTGAGGAAGATTGGTTTGCTTGAATCTTTGATGTTCTTAAGGTAATAAAGTTCAAGACAAGAAAACTATGATAAAAGTCATCGAATTTTTCGGGTTGTGTTAACTCAGTATTATGATACATTTTTTATCAAAAAAACCAAAAAAGTATTATGATACATATAAAACATTGGCAAGGAATAATTGTGGGAATAGTTGTGAAGTCTGACATATATAGTTTGTATTTGTCTCAATATGTAAACCATCAGGAGATTTTCCTAATTTAGAGTTTATTGCACCACCTAAGCTAATTCTGTTCCATTCTATTCTGATGTATTTCTTCCGGGTTTAAAGGAACTATATTGGCAAGATCATGGATAGCTGTTTGTCTATTTGTCCCTGAAGAGGGTGTGCTGCTTATGGATCTGACTTTCCGGAGTACTTGATGTGGGGAACTGCATTCCAACTGAAGGTGTGGTTGTAGTCTTTCTACTCTTACTCTGACCCTGGCCAAAAATAGAAAAAAAAACCATAAAAATGGAAGGCAAAAGACTAGTACGAGTCAAAGAAATGACATGGAAAAGGAGAGAAATTGACTGATCAATGTAATGTGAGGGGAATATGAGAGACAAAATTGATGTAAATGCGTGTTGATGGTTTTTCTTTTTTTTCCGTAAGTTCTGATTGATCACAAATCGACTGTTGTGGTTGTTCTGTATCGGCCTTTCTATGGCTAGTGATCTCAGTGTGGACTCTGATATTTAAGAATGAAAAGTGTAAATAATTTCCATATCAATGAATTGCTCGAGTAGGCATTTTGCTTGTTGGAGCTTTATAAACTTCATGGACATGGAAAGAAAACAATAGGACCATCCTTCTGTGGTCTAAGGTGTCCTCGCAAAGAATTCTTGTCCTCTATTCTGAAGTGATTGGATGCTGATTATTTTATGTGAAGTTGCGAACTCTCTCCTTTCCTCATATCTCACTAATCAAAATTTGGCTTCTGAAGAATACCTACACCTCATTTTGGTAGATGGGTAGTGCACTTTCTTTCCATGCATGCATAATTGTAGAAATTTTATCCTGTACACTTTCCCGTAGGCGGTGTTAAGATCCGACCACATGACCTGGATTTCGATAAAGTTTCTCTGAACTTTTGGCTAGGGTATAAGGTTGAAGTGATACGGACCTAGTTTAGGATCCAATAGTTAGGCGATACCACCAATCATGAGGACTCGTCAGTGTAAACTTGCGTTTGAATTGTTCGTTGTTTACAAATGTGAGATAGGAGGATTTTTTTTTTTACAGACCCAAAAAAAAAGGATATCACTTAGCTCATGATAACGAACCATGCGAAAACTATCATCCCGAATACATCCACCCCAACCAATGCAAGCCCTGTGCGAATCAACTCCGGCCGGCGGAACCAGCCTCCCACGACCAACAACAGTAGGGTCAAAATTAGCAGTGCGGTAACTACATACCTCGAATAGCGAACGTTATGGCTAGGATGACCAGATGAAATATACACAGCCAAAACGATGCCATGATCGTAAGTAAGAGAGTGGCAGTGCCTAAGAGAGTGGCAGTGCCATAGGCAAGGTTATCAGCCTTAATCGCGGCGGCTATAGCGGGGATCTACACCTCAATAGCGGCGGCGAAATGTATCCCTGCCTCAATAGCGGCAGCGGAATGAGGAGTGGCAGCGAAAAGAAAGATGAGCTTTTAGTCTTCAAATATCCATGAGAATTTTTTCCAAATTCTGACCACTTAATACAAAAGAAGCAACAATTATAGTTAATAACTTAATGATAATTTAAAATTTATAATTGAAGTGACGCGTATTAATTATTTGCAACTACAACTGCAACTACAACTACAACTTTTTCTTTTCTCCTTCCACCATATTATCGCCATGGTTCTAATTATACAACAATCAAGCTTAAGATGTTTCTTGAAAGAGTGAACGACGGAAACAATCGAACCTCACTAAAGAATAAAAACTTGGCATAGATACATGATAATGAATACCCAAACATGACACAAGTTAAGCAAAGCAATGAGCATGCAAAAGGTGGGTGCTCCAAAATCACAATAAACCAAAGTTCTAAACAAACTTTAATAGATGTTCTACATGACAAGTTAAGCAAAGCAATGAGCATGCGGACGGAGATGAGAATTTGAGAATTGAGAAGTAAGGAGTAGTAAGAAAATTAGGGATTTTAGATTTAGGTTTCCGGTTCCGAACCGAACCGGCGGTTCCTAAAAAAATGGAACCGGAAACTAGAACCTCCTTCCCTAGAACCAAACCGGACCCACCAGTTCGGTTCTCTAATTCCCGATTCTACCCTAAACTCGTGCTCACCCCTAGGCCGTGCGACAAAGCTTGGGCTTCAGCTTGCAATGGAAACAAGTTATCAAAGCTAAATGTTAATCACATGGACAAAGTGAACTGTCAACAGCTATCTTTAGAATTACCAAAGCTCGAGATCATCTCTTTTTATCCGTTATTTAAATTTTATCCAAATTGTAGCATTTAAAAAATCTGTCGAACAACGAACTGATATGTTAAAGGTTGTGAACTTTTCTCTTATCTTTTTTTGAATCAATTTCCAATTACGGGAAACTTTACATAAACCTACGATCATTTTTTTTTCTATTTAATAATATTATCTTTTTAACGGGATATAAGATATATACAAAATATGTGGATTCGAAATGGACCTCCAATGAATGAAATGTCAATATTAAAATTTTTAACTTCCTCATTAAATAAATTAATGGCGTTGTAACTTTTAAATTTTTTTAATAAATTAGTGTCGGTGTCATATCTATATTTGATGAATAATGATAAAAAAAAAAAGAGAGCCACAACATACGCTATCTCTCCAAATTATACTAAAATATATTTCATATTAAGTGGATAAGTTGTGCCCATATTTACATCTTGAAACAATTTATACTGCAAAATATGAATTTTATTTATCAGTAAGTTTTGTTTCTCTTTTCAGCTTAATTTCTAATTTAGTGAATGAATTATGTATATTGATATACTTTTGCATTTGCACTTTTTTCAATTTTAACATTAATTAGAGATAATGCCCGAAACGGATAAATATTTCGGAAGGACAGTCGTTTATACTTCTAAAAGATTTTGCCTCTTTTTAATTAATTTTTTTTCAATTATAAATTCCGCAAGGAAAAATGTTGAAAGAGAGAAATATTGGACTCTTGATGCGCTTCGTTATTTGAAATTCAAACTCAATTAACAAAGTAACAGCCGGTTGCTCTTTTTTACCGCAGTCAAAAGGCCATCCAAAAATCCGACTAAAAAGAAAAAAAGGCCATCCTAAAAAATACTCCACCAGCTAGCGAGGAAGGAAAAGAAAGTGCGGAAAAAAGGAAGAAGATCAAAAGAGAAAATCCTGGGGAATTGAATTTGAGTAACAAAGGACCAAACAAAGTGCGGAAAAGAAGAAGAAGAAGATGCAGACACGGGAAAAAAGAAGCAGCAATTTCCAACCCTACGATGAAGTAACAAAATCACTCTATGAAAGACCTTATAACAGAACCAAAGAAAATCTATGCACACGCTGAACCCTCTTCCTCCTGGTCACAATTTACCAATGCACTTCATCGCAACCAAGGTCAAGATCAGCCACAGATAGAATTCGAGGCGGGCCAACAGCACCCCTATGCGCACCATTTTGCCATAGCCGCGCGTCCATCCAACTAGCAGCAAGAACAGAGTAACAAATACTGCCCCAGTGAATAGAGATGCCATGATTTTGAGAACAGGCCCGGGATGCTTGATAGCAAGATAAATCAGGCCCGCGGCGCCCGAAACTATGGCGAGGACAATGCTGACGAAGAGGAAGGCTCCTTCGCGACCGGCAAATTCACCAGAGAGCCACCAATTATGTGCTTGTCGAGGTGCATTTGGGTCTCCTTCGGAGTTCAAAAATCCGTTCGACATGTCCGTCCGCCTCTGGATAGCCAATTCTAAATCTGGAACTAGAGCATCTCCTGTTCTTCCAGCCAAGAACTGGTTCGGATTCGAAGCCGTGGCCGACGACTCTTGAAGGTCTGGTGGTGGATTCGCCGCCATCGATTGATAGGAGTTGATGGCTGATGGAAGAGCGAGAAAGTTGAAAAAGGATATCTTCACAAAATGAATTAAAGGAGCGAGATAAGAATATATGCGGAAAAGAGAAGGGTGTAGTTTCTGTAAGGTATGAAAATATCAACGACAATGCATTACAATCTGATAGGCACGATCCTAATCCTAGATGGAGGGAGAATCCAATTATTATGTGGAACCATAATTTCGAATAATAGGATGAAGAAAAGACGGGGTTGATCACGGGGTTGATCATCTCTATGACCAAACAAATAATCATAAGGGCAATGACTTGAGGGAGTCATCTCATCTCATCTAACATCATCTACAAAATAGGGTAGGTTTCTCCCCTTTCGAAAAGTATTTTAACATTTCAATAATATTTTAAAAAATTTCGATAAAAGAGGTCGGGCTGGGCCCTTGAGCCCAGTCCGAAATAAGCTCTCAACTAGGCACGGCGTACAGAAAATCGGGCATATTGCACCAGGCCCTTTTAGCTGAACTGAACCCAACCCGCTAAAGTTCAGACACAGCCCAAACCTATCTAAACAAAACTAAGCCCACACTTTTTAAAGAGGAAGCAAGCCCAAACTCGCTACACCAACTTAAGCCCAGACTCACTAAACCTCTCCTGCCATTTACTCCTAGCCATGAACGAGCGACCCGACCAGATTCAACCTCCGGCCACTCCCGGCCGTGAGCGGCTCACCACGGAAGCAAGCTCTTTCTCAACCAAACATCATTATTCACACAATCATGTTCAACGCATATGCAAAATCCATATAGTTGCATCAGGAACACACACAGACAGAGAACATATGCAGGGCAAGTTTGATTCGCAATTCAAGCATAGCAACTAACAAAAAAGGGGAATATCTCGTAGTTTCTCAAGCAAATAATCATTCCAGTCTACGCCTAATGAAAGCGCCAGTGACAATCAACTAGTGCTCCCAACTCAGCACATGAGTATTTCAGTTAATTTCGCGGAATCAAGTTTATCAGATGCCGAATGTATCGAAACCAAGTATCTTCGGGAATGAACTCTAAAGTGAATATCCGCTGTATTATCTAAATACAGTGAATGGGTCGAGCAGACGAGATGATCCCGGCCAAATTCCGAGCAATAATTCATACCAATGCGAATCGGACATTTCATCAAACAGTTTGTGTGCGGGGGGAAACATTGAATCTATTCACAAACTCCAAGAGGTTTTTTTCTTTTAGCTGCAATCAACACTAAGTCAACAATATAATAACAAGCTATCGATCAGCAACTCCAGCTTTAAGCGATTTTTATGCAAATGATGTGAACATTACTCACTCAGCCGTATATCTCACTTAAAGCAGAGAGAGAGAACAGGGCGGGACGAGATTATCTCTGAAACACAGGAGAGAGGAATGATGAAATTACCTGGTCAAAGAGCAAGAGAAGAGTCGTGATTTCGAATCGAATCGAGAGAGAAATCTTTGATGTTCTTCCGCGAACGAAAGCAGCACCAACGGAGAAGTGGCGATTATCGATGGCTGACAATCTCTCGAGCATTGGAAATCCTTCCGTGAACGAAACAGCACCGACAGAGAAGCAACGGTGACCGATAGTGGACAATCTCTCCGAGCACCGAGGATCCTTCCCCGAATCAGTTTTCGCCAACCAAAAAAAAAAAAAATTCGAAGCTTTCCTCAGTGAATCTGTAAGAACCCCTTTCCGTCTCCAACGTACTCTCCGAATCAAGAATGATGAAACTCTCTTTGATCGAATCTTCGCCGGGAATAGAGGGACGACCTCGAGAGCCGAACAACAGTAGACTAGAATCGCATTGAGGATGCGGCTGGACCTGCGGGGAAATCGCGGCCAAAAAGGAGGAACCCGCGACAGAGACGGAGGTTTCTTGTTTTTGTCTTTTTCTGTGCGTGTGCTAGCGAGCAAAACTGTGTGGAGAGAGAACGAACGAGAGATTTCTCTCTCCTTTTGTGCGGAATAAATCAGAAAGATGACTTGCAGTCCCCCGCTCCCCACCACCCGACGAGAGTTCTCTCCCGAGCGCCCGCGCAAAAGAGCCCCAGAAATGGTGCCGCCCTTTTTTTCTGCTCTCTTCCGCCCCTGCCCAGCCCAAAAGGTTTTGTGTCGTCGTGCCACTTGGCGCGATCATCAGGAGCGTAAGCGAAGAGAATAGATGGTGAGGTGTCAATTATCGTGCTCTAAACGGTTTAACTGGCCGAAATTTCTTTACTCGGACCCGATGCCCTTAAATTTTAGGAAAAATTGGCACCAACGATACGCGAAATTTTAACTTGTTTAACATGGTTCTCGAATTTTAGCCAAATATTTAATGTGATTCATGACCTAAACCTGATGAACCACATTGATAAAAATTTAAAAGTTCATAAATCACATCACATATCGGATCAAAGTTCAGGGATCATTTATGTCATTGCCCCTAAATTTTACTGGCTCCTAAATCAAATGCCTAAAGAAAAATTAGAAACTAACGGAATTTTAATATTTTTTTCGATCAAAAGTTAAAATCTTCCGTTTGACGAAAAATGTCAACCTCTCGCCATTTTTACGAAAATTCTAAACCTAACGTCCTCATCCTGTGCGCCTACACTAAATGAATACCCTACATGCAATTAAGGCGCTAAGCAAAATTAGTTCAATTTTTTGGGTCAAGAAACTATTTGCGCCGTAACCGGGGATTTCAAATATCAAATATTCTAATTTTGACAGTCGGCAACCACTTACCATCATGAGACATACTAGTCTTACATCTCCGAGTCATCACTGATCACCACCTTGACTCAAAATGGATGGATCAAAACGAATGTTGTGATTTCCAAATGAAATGAACATCAAAGTGTTTTCACTCGGAAGATATTTCTCAAACAAGAACACGGCTTCGTTCAGACATTTTCACAAACAATTGGTGGCCGGTTTCAACACATTGCACAAAACATCAGTGAAGGGTCGATTTCAGTCCATATGCTCGCGATAACATCCAGAAATATGTCCTCCATTAACATATTCTTGATTATGGTTTGATTCTCGTTCAAGCATTACTCAAGACATTCATGTTTCCTTAAATTAAAAGGAAACGAGGAGGTTCATACCTTGACAAAGCGAACTTGCACTCACGAACGGTGGTGATCAAGCAAGCAAGGAAATGTTCCAAAACTCGTCACCGGTCAAGTGTCTGAAGTTTCGGCCGAGAACGGTACTCATCGAACTTCGTGGCCGAATAACCGCGCGAAACATAGTGAAATCAGACCCTGTAATTTTTAGTATTTGCAAATTCGTGCCCTAACTTTGTGAAATCACGGATTTGGCCCCCTAGAGTTCCAAAACTATACAATTAAGTCCAATTTTGTAGTGAATTCACCAACAATCATTCTAAGGTTTCTGATCTGATTCTGTGATTAGTCCCCAGAATTTCCAGATTTTGTAAGTCCGTCCATAAGCTTTGGGAAATTGCAATTTTGCCCCTAAAGTTTCAAAACTAATTATTTTGAACTTTAAAATATTTAGTCCCCAGAATTTCCGGAAAAGAACAGTTCACAAGCATTGGGCCAAATTCAACTCTGGGCTTCCCTTGTCGTAGGCCGTTCACCCAGAAACGACACCGCTTAAAGCATGAAGTCATCTTCTTCATCGTTCATCAACCACCCTCGGGCATTATGATAACAAGCTCCTTTAAATAAAAAAAACAAGTCTTTTATAGAAAATTCTCGGAAGACAATTGATACAAAATTCGTCGTAAGATTGTTTGAAGTTTAAAAGAACGGCGCTTTGACATACATTTTTATCTGTAAAAAATGCAAATTCGGTTTGTTCATATTCTTATTTCGCCGGAATTGATCCCTTGGACGCGAGGCTCAATCAAGCTATGTCTCATACACGTGGAGGACGGGTGTTCCTTCCTCCGCAAGAAAGCGGAAGTGAACAAACCCGACAATGCTTACGGTCTCCGACATGCTATCAGTAACCTCCTTTTTTTCCTTCGACCACCGACGGCATCCCGTCAATTGCGGCATTCGTAATATCGTGGACAAATATACAACGTGATTCGGAAGCAACCATTTCCCCGCGCTTCACCTTCTCCTTTGCAGGGCACTTGGCTCCGAAAGGACCCTCCATGTTGGCCTGCAGACTCAAAGCTAACAAAGTTTTACTCCATAAGAAAAGATTCACAAACTGGTTTGAGGCAAGGAAAGAGAACCTTTTCCTTAGAGTTTCGAAGAATCAATGTTGAAAACTTAAAAAGACTTCAGCTTCCGGTACCTCATGCCGGTTCTATGGGTGCTGCTTGACCGAAGAAGATAATCTATCTTCACGTCTTGAATTTTGGATGAGAGGAACTCGTTTTGAATTTTGGATATAAATAAAAATTTGGAAAATTGTTATTTGGAGTTTTTGGATTATCTAATGATATCAGCTCTCATCTTTCTTGTAGTTTGCCCACAGGAAGTGCATTCAAAGGTGGTGCAACAAAAAAGGTGACATTAACTGTGAGATTTGCAACCAGGTAGGACTGCATCTTAGCTTCTTAATCTACGTATGATGATCAAGAAAATTGCAATCTTTACATGAAGACTCGAGAATTTTTTTTTTTTTACAGGCAAAAAGAAAATATCACTCAGTTGGCGTAAACGAACAGTGCAAAAACAATTGCTCCAGCTACATCGACCCAAGCTAAATTACGCCCCGCGCGAATCAACTCAGGACGGCCGAACCAGTCTCCCACCACCAAGAGCACTAGAGTCAAACTAAGTAATCCGGTGACCACATACGCCGAGTACCGGACACCATGCGTGGGATGACCAGATGCAACAAACACAGTTAAAATGAAGCCGAGGACAGTGACTAAGAGTGTGAGAGTAACAAAGATGGACATCTCAGTCTCTGCAACAGGGATCTCCGCCCCAACGGTGGCTGCAGCAGGCATCTCCGCCCCAATAGCGGCAGCAGAGGGGGTCTCCACCTCGTCGGCCGCAGCGGGATTGGAAGCAGTGCTGGCAACATGACTCTGCAGAGCCGTAGCCTCGGTGGCCCCAGCGGGGGTCTCCACCTCGTCGGCCACAGCGGCGGTGGCAGGAGCGGCCGGACTCTGCGGAGTGGCGGACACACTCGGACTCTGCATTGGCGAAAAATACTCCGAACTGGAATCGGAATGATCCCCGCTGCTCACCATGCAGTACGGTCGGTTCTTGCTGCTGCTACTTGGATGGGCACGGCTGCTTTTCAATCCACCATTCCTCTCTGTATTTTCCTCGCCATCTCTCTCGGTTCTTTCTCTGTATTTTCCTCCGATGACTCCCCCTTCGTTAAATAAAAGGCCCGCCCCCCTCTCTCCCTCGGGAAAATATTCTGTTTGTCCTTTGAGCGACGCCTTCCTGCCATCAAGCTCGCCGATTCGAGCGACGCCTCCTTGCCATCAAGCTCGGCGATTCGTCCTTGCTGGCCGTTATCCCGTCTGTCCTCTCCGTTTTTGTCTTATCCGCCTTTTGTCATATCTGCGAGCGTCTCTGTTTGCTGCGAGCGTGAGGGAGAGAGGCGGAAAAGAAGACTGACTGGGGGCTGGGCTGAGAGGGAATTGGAGCAAAGGAGACTGGGCCGAAAATAGAGAGGAGGGGTGATACGAAGGCGGGCGTGAGCTGAATAAAAGGGAAAAGAAAGGGAGGAAAAGCCCAGTAATGAACAAAAAGGGTTAGGCTCAAGCGAAAATTAAAGGATTGGGGCTAAGGTTGATGGGCCGCGCTAAATTGGCCCGACATATATTTTATTTTATCATATATATTTATTTTTTTGTCTCTCTTTTGCACTAATTTGACCATTTTACCATTTAAGCGTTAATTTGACAATGTGGGCAAAATTAGGTGTCAACACTTTGTTAATTGAGTTTGAATTTCAAATAACGAAGTGCATCAAGAGTCCAATATTTATCTCTTTCAACATTTTTCCTCGCGGAATTTATAATTGAAAAAAAAATAATTAGAAAGAGGGAAAATCTTTGAGAAGTATAAACGACTATCCTTCCAAAACATTTAACCATTTCGGGTACTATCTCTAATTAATGTTAAAATTGAAAAAAGTGCAAATACAAAAGTATATCAATATACATAATTCATTCACTAAATTAGAAATTAAGTTGGAAAGAGAAACAAAACTTACTGATGAATAAGATTCATATTTTGCAGAATAAATTGTTTCAAGATGTGAATAAGGGCACAACTTATCCACTTAATATGAAATATATTTTTATTATAATTTGGAGAGATAGCGTATGTTGTGGCTCTCTCTTTTTTTTATCATTATTCATCAATTATAGATATGACACCGACACTAATTTATTAAAAAAAATTAAAATTTACAGCGCCCCTAATTTATTGAATGAGGAAGTTAAAAATTTTAATATTGACATTTCATTCATTGGAGGTCCATTTCGAATCCACATATTTTGCATATATCTTATATACCGTTAAAAGATAATATTATTAAATAGAAAAAAAATGATCGTAGGTTTATGTAAAGTTCCCCGTAATTGGAAATTTATTCAAAAAAAGATAAGAGAAAAGTTCACAACCTTTAACGTATCAGTTCATTGTCCAACAGAATTTTTAAATACTACAATTTGGATAAAATTTAAATAACTGAAAAAAAGAGATGATCTCGAGCTTTGATAATTCTAAAGATAGCCGTTGACAGTTCACTTTGTCTATGTGATTACCATTCAGCTTTGATAACTCTTTTCCATTGCAAGCTAAAGCCCAAGCTTTGTCGCATGGCCTAGGGGTAAGCACGAGTTTAGGGTAGAATCGGGAATTGGAGAACCGAACTGGTGGGTCCGGTTCGGTTCTAGGGAGGGAGGTTCCAGTTTCCGGTTTCCTTTTTTCAGGAACCGCCGGTTCCCGGTTCGGAACCGGAAACCTAAATCTAAAATCCCTAATTTTCTTACTACTCCTCACTTCTCAATTCTCAAATTCTCATCTCCGTCCGCATGCTCATTGCTTTGCTTAACTTGTCACGTAGAACATTTCCTAAAGTTTGTTTAGACCTTTGGTTTATTGTGGCTTTGGAGTACACCATTCGCATGCTCATTGCTTTGCTTAACTTGTCATGTTTGGGTATTCATTATCATGTATCTATGCCAAGTTTTTATTCTTTAGTGAGGTTCGATTGTTTCCTTCTTTCACTCTTTCAAGAAACATCTAAAGCTTGATTGTTGCATATAATTAGAACCATGGTGATAATATAGTGGAAGGAGAAAAGAAAAAGTTGTAGTTGTAGTTACAGTTGTAGTTGCAAATAATTAATACGCGTCACTTCAATTATAAATTTTAAATTATTATTAAGTTATTAACTATAATTGTTGCTTCTTTTGATTTTAAGTGGTCAGAATTTGGAAAAAATTCTCATGGATATTTGAGGACTAAAAGCTCATCTTTCTTTTTGCTGCCGCTCCTCATTCCACTGCCGCTATTGAGGCAGGATACATTCCGCCGCCGCTATTGAGGTGTAGATCCCCACTACAGCCGCTGCCATTGAGGCTGAGATCCTCGCCTATGGCATTGCCACTCTCTTACTTACAATCATGGGCACCGTTTTGGCCGTGTATATTTCGTCCGGTCATCCTAGCCATAACTTTTGCTATTCGAGGTACGTAGTCACTGCACTGCTAAGTTTGACCCTACTGCTGTTGGTCGTGGGAGGCCGGTTCGCCGGCCGGAGTTGATTCGCACGGGGTTGCATTGGTTGGGGTTGATGTACTTGGGATGATAGTTTTCGCATGGTTGTGATATCTTTTTTTTTTTTGGGTCTGTAAAAAAAAAATCCTCCTATCTCACATTTGTAAACAATGAACAATTCAAACGCAAGTTTACACTGACGAGTCTTCATGATTGGTGGTATCGCCTAACTATTGGATCCTAAACTAGGTCCGTATCACTTCAACCTTATACCCTAACCAAAAGTTCAGAGAAACTTTATCGAAATCCAGGTCATGTGGTCGGATCTTAACACCGCATACGGGAAAGTGTACAGGATAAAATTTCTACAATTATGCATGCATGGAAAGAAAGTGCACTACCCATCTACCAAAATGAGGTGTAGGTATTCTTCAGAAGCCAAATTTTGATTAGTGAGATATGAGGAAAGGAGAGAGTTCGCAACTTCACATAAAATAAACAGCATCCAATCACTTCAGAATAGAGGACAAGAATTCTTTGCGAGGACACCTTAGACAACAAAAGGATGGTCCGGTAGTTTTTTTTCCATGTCCATGATTTATAAAGCTCCAGCAAGCGAAGATGCCTACTCAAGCAATTCATTGATATAGAAGTTATTTACATTTTTCATTCTTAAATATCAGGGTCCACACTGAGATCACCAGCCATAGAAAGGCTGATACAGAACAACCACATCGGTCGATTTGTGATCAATTGGAACTTACGGAAATAAAAGAAAAACCATCAACACGCATTTACATCAATTTGTCTCTTATATTCCCCTCACATTACATTAATCAGTCAATTTCTCTCCTTTTCCATGTCATTTCTTTGACTCGTACTCGTCTTTTTCCTTCCATTTTTATGGTTTTTTTTTCTATTTTTGGCCAAGGTCAGAGTAAGAGTGGAAAGACTTCAACTACACCTTCAGTTGAAATGCAGTTCCCCACATCAAGTACTCCGCAAAGTCAGATCCATAAGCAGCACACCCTCTTCAGGGACAAATAGACAAACAGCTATCCATGATCTTGCCAATATAGTTCCTTTAAACCTGGAAGAAATACATCAGAATAGAATGGAACAGAATTAGCTTAGGTGGTGCAATAAACTCTAAATTAGGAAAATCTCCCGATGGTTTACATATCGAGACAAATACAAACTATATATGTCAGACTTCACAACTATTCCCACAACTATTCCTTGCCGATGTTTTATATGTATCATAACACTTTTTTGTTTTTTTGGTCGAAATGTATCATAATACTGAGTTAACACAACCGGACAAATTCGATGACTTTTATCATAGTTTTCTTATCTTGAACTTTATTACCTTAAGAACATCAAAGATTCAAGCAAACCAATCTTCCTCACAAAACCAGCATCAGGGAAAAAGGAACTAAAAGTGGCAGTAAAAACTGAACTAATTTAAGAAAGGAAGTCATCAAATCTTCATGTAAACATCTCCTTATTTAGACACAAAGAATCCTGTTTAGTAATCTGTCAAAATGTAAGGTTAATTACGAATTCTCCCCAATATTTGAGGTATACACAAAAATCTCTGCCCTCTAAATCTTGACAAGTACCCCCAACCTTCAGGATAGGCAAAGACCTCCATTACCATATTTAATAGTATTTTTCGTCTGCCTAAATTGACATAAAAAAAACAGATAGTTTAAAAAATGCCATTTAAAACATGTTAACATGTGCATTTTCCACTAAAACCTGTTGGAATTCTTAATTATGTAAGTTTTCAATTTTGTAGAAGTTACTGATTGATCGTATCATTGTTTATTCGTTTTATGTTTTATTTTCTCTTAATAAGTAAATTTCCCGTTTTGGCTTGATGAATGCAGAGTTGTTACCAAGCTACATTTGAATACATAAATTACCAAAAGATTCTTTTTTTGCTAGAAGTTACTAAAAGATTCTTAGATAGACCTAAATATGAAACTGGGTATTTTGCTTCAAAATTTCAAACTTTTTGAAAAATATGGCAATATAATGCATTAAAGAAGGTAAATAATCCCGTGATTACCAATTCAAGCTACCAAAAACTATTTGTAACTTTACATATTTAAGAATTCAAATATATTAGAGCTAAAATCAATAATTTAGGCAGAAAATGCAAGTCTTTCTCTTTAAAAAAGTTCTAATGGCATTTTTAACTTTTCAAGATTTTTGGCACATTCCTTCTCACTGATCTGAAAAAAGACAAAAACACAAAGGTAACGGAGTCTTTCGTTTCGAAAGGTTGGGAAGGTATTTTAAAAGATTTAAGAGACAAGGGCCTATTTGCATAAAAAAAAAAAAACAAATCCCATAGGTAAAGGGAATATTTGCAAAGATATAAAGGATGGGGAGCTCTTTGCAACTGCAAGAGACACCTAAGGTCGGGGAAATTTGCAATTAACTGAAAAATGTATCTTCTCTGTCGTTCTTTTGTTTACCCCCAACACATGAGTATCTTTGAACAATTCTGTGATGTATTATCAAAACTCTTCTGATCAGTTGCGATGCAATGTTAGTTAATTCCCGGTCTATATAAGGTGACATAAAGAAACCACATCTTTCGTTTGTCATCAAGTCATCTATAATGCTCTCAGCATCAAATTAATTATTCAGTCAAGTGAAACAGAATGGTGTACCTGTCTCCTACGGCTTTGTATGTACCAAGATCTGGCCATTACGTAGCATGGCAAGAGAAAACCAGCAAACTGAAGAACTGAAACCTGAAACTGAATTTCCAATATTACAATTAGTTTTCATGCTGTAAAAACTAGTCCATAGAGAGATTATGATCACTGAAAAGTTCAATGCACTTAGTACGTTCGAATTTTTTCATTAAATTAAAAGCTAAAAGCCTACAACATGAACTTATGAGCTTGGCTGACCAGACTATGATCACAATTAATAGATTAATATCCAGACTTTCATGATCGAATTGTCTCACCAAATTAAAGCACATACTCATGCACTCTTTTGTAAGTGGCAACAACTTCAATAAAACAGAATCAATCTAGATTGGAAACAGTAACTACAAATGTTGCCATAGCAAATCTCACAGTTATTCCCAAAAAGTTTCATTTTCAATCTTATAAGTGCTATTCTAAACACCTCAACTCAATAGGGACCTATAAAGGCAGGGTACACATCTATCATTTCAAAATCGCAGGAAGTAATTACAGTCTGCCAACTGCTCAGTTCACTCACCTACGCAACTTCATTCATGTAATGACGGCAGAAAAGGGAATGCAAAATAACTTATGAAAGGATATCAAAATATTCAAAGGTCTGAAATACATCTGCTGCCCCATATACCACGATTTTTTCCCCCCAATCACGTACACTATTTGTTGAGAAAACAATTCTGAAGAAAAAGTAAATTGTGCTGCTAGATTCAAGTTGCAGGCACACTTATGCATTCTAAAGCATCATTGGTATTGGAGACTTACATCAAAAAACATTGATGATTCTTGCACCATTCCAGTTTCTCGTGTAATCATGAGAGCTTGGCGTAGAAGTAGAATTATCAACAACTGCCAATTAATGATCCACGTTTACTTCCTGATAGAGGCAATAATCAATAGAAAAATCCTTGTTCCGATCACTTACAACAAGAGCCACAGTTCGGAGGCAGGCAATGCTGCTACTATTTTCAACAGCATACTCTTCATAGTCAGATCGCAGAAATTGCCTTTCAGCAGCAGCTAGCGCTATAAGATGAGAATCACGGAGATTGATATGTGGGCCCCATGCTCGCCTAATCGACAGAAGCACACAATATCTTAGGCTTCAGATGCTGAGCCAGGACACAGAATGGCGAATCATAGATGCGACAGACAGTAATATCCAAAATTAAACATTACGACCTTAGCATGCAGAGACGCGACAAGCAAAGGCATGACACCATCAGCTAAGATGAGCAGGATGCTATGAATCTATATCTACTTTGCAGCCGAAATTTCAGGTTGGTACTTCAGTGAAATGAAACAAGATTGGACAAAAAAGATGGAGAAACTAGGTGAGTTTTGACTTGACAACTTGAAACATGAGAGATTAAAGCTGAAATCAGAAGTTATGTTCGATTCATAACCAGTTGTAGCGTCCAAATATTCTGCAGAAGAGTAGGGTACAACCCTGGGATCTCACTTCAAACTAAAGTACAGTGTGGTATTAAGAGGGAAGAATTGACATGTGAATCTAACGGATCAGACAACCTAACGAGAGTACAAGCAGCAGTGTCAATAGCATCTAGAAGAATATCTCCGCCATACACTTATAAATGATACATCATTGGGAGACCAATTTATCTTAATCTTTTTGGGGAAAATGCCTGAAATTATATGAAATGACACACTACATTAGCATATTAAACTTCTTCCCTTCCTAATACGCCTTAGCAAGAATAACATAGCTTGGAATTAGATGCTATTGCAAAGAGAATTTAAATAAAAGAAAAAGTTTCAAATAAACAAGTTGAAGAAAAAAGCAACTTGGTTCAGATAACGTATATTCGGAATGCTTAGAACTTAATGCATTGAAAGACAGAAAGAGATTAAGTAAATGAGAGAATACTCAAAAGAAAGTGATATTCTTGTGGATTACTAGTGGCTGTCGATGCCTTGATCATTATTAAGTTTTCCCCAAGGAGGCATTCAATAAGCTGATTGAGCTTTGGAGTAAGACCAACAATTATCAAGTTATTATGAATGTGTATTCTTTACCCATTATAGATAAAAAGAGAAACGAGACCGAAAAATGAGAAACAATAATGAGGCCGGAGGAGACCAGAGGAATGATAAAAGGAAAAGATTGCAATTTTCTTGATCATCAATAACCAAGCAAATTATCTCCCTCATACATCAACAAAAAAACCAACAATGGAAGTGAATAAGAAGTTTCAAACCAAAAGTTAAAAAAAAAGTAAGAAAAATCCTTAAAACATGCAAAAGAGCATGTCTCCCTACAATTAATTGCTTTCTCTAAGATGGTAGAAGATGTTGATCGTACATTGTTAAAATAAAGCATATCTAGACATTGGTGGCCAACTAACGTCGAAAGTATGCTCCATATAGGGATTTTACGTTCTTTATGAAGCTTACAAGTTACCTGACATCAATGGCCACAAGATCGGGACTGATGGTGGCAGGTGGCAAAGAATAATTTGGAGAAAAAACCTATCACATAGAAAACCAGACCTTTTATATGTGAATTTGCATATTCATCATATATAGATTAAGAAGCTAAGATGCAGTCCTACCTGGTTGCAAATCTCACAGTTAATGTCACCTTTTTTGTTGCACCACCTTTGAATGCACTTTCTGTGGGCAAACTACAAGAAAGATGAGAGCTGATATCATCAGACAATCCAAAAACTCCAAAGCTTAGAGCAAATTTTACTGATTTCAACTTAGGGATCAATGACAAAGCAAAGCATGACTTGGTCATAATCTCAACCAACTTAAGCACAGAAGTACAACTCCTTGATGAGAAGTCGATGATCCCAGTATTTGTGGGTATATGAAGTGAAAGAGGCAGCTGCCACCACTCTTCTTCACGTGTACATTAAAAATCCAATGCATCATGCTATTAATTAATGCATCTAAGTGACTTGTTTCACATTATAAACCCAGAAATCACACGGCATGAATCTTTGAACAGTCGCTACCATACATGGTCATGTACCACAAAATACCTCTGTTTTACCATGTTCAAGTCATTCCTCAATGTTAAACATACAGAATCTTCCTTTCCTGCCGATCATGCCGTGTCCATTTTCTTACTCGTGGTTTTGTTGGGTATTAAATAAGGAAGATAGGAATCTCACTAACTAACCCATCCATGTGAGTCACGAACAAGATGGGGAGGCATTTGGGTACTACAAAAGAGTCGTGATTAAATATTCCACCATTGACCGATGCTTGTTTAAATATCTTCACATCAACATTCAGAGCATCTGTCAAAATTATGGGGTGTGCATTCACAGTATCGTTGATGCTTTGTTTTAACTCGACAGCCAGACATCCATACAATCAACTGTTTGGCATATAGAAAAAACGCCCTATGAAACCCTTTGTTCCCCCAATCCATCCTCTGCCAGCGTGAATTCTCCACATAAGTATCAGAAAGTCTCTTCCCACTCTCCTACTCATCCACTTATTTTTTAGTCTTTTGTTCATCGTAGAACTAGTTCTTTCTTTCATTGACATACTACTTGTCAGACAAAGCCAGTAATAGGACATTTAGAGGGCCTCTCTCTCTCTCTCTCTCTCTCTCTCTCTCATACATACACACACACACACAAGTGCTTTCCATTTTCATCTGTTATTTTCCTCGAAGAGGAAATCAGAGCAAATATGCAAACAGTATACCAAACCCCGACAAAGACGTAAATGCAAGAAATTACTGCAACACACAACCACTGAATTAAAAGCGGTCACGCGGTTGAGACCAGCTCCACCAAAAAAAAAAATTGCAATTTCCACGAAACTCCACCTTTACCAAAGGGGACAAAAGCAGATTACTTGTTTTCGCCTTTAACTTCTTCAACTAAGAGTGATCACATGAAAGTTTGAAAATCAAGACCCTTGATCAGAGAGAGAGAGAGAGACGGAGAGGTTTCATCTAATTCACAGAATTCGCAAATGTCAACGCACGGAAACATCTGCGTTTCAACAGCCAACTTGAACCGCAAAGAGGAAATGAGAAAACGAAACAAGCTCAAATAGAGAGAGAGAGAGAGACCTTGAGAGTGCCATTGCAGGCACAAGGAGACTCCATGGCCTGGACTTCGTCCTCCTCCTGGCATATCCTGCACTCCACCACCACTCCCTCCCTCGCCTTCTTCTTCTTCGCCGCCGCGGCCGCCGGAGCCGAGCACCCTTCCCCCCCGTCGACCACCACCACCACCACGCCCGCCATCGCCTGCATTTGCTTCTCCCTCTCCGGCGCCCCGCCGCCCGCCGCCGGCTTCGCGGCGGCCCCGTCCACGCCCGCCGTAATGTCGTCCACCATCTCTCCCTCCCTCCCTCCCTCTCTCTCTCTCCAGCGATGCCGAGTCAATGGCAGTTTCTCTCTCTACAGAGGAGGAGGAGGAAGAAGAAGGGGAGTGGTGGGGGAGCGTGCGTTTTAAAAAAGCACAGCACGAGTTTCTCTGCTGACGTAATTCTGGTTAAAAGTGGGCCCCCCTTTGTTTTTGCTTTTCGTTGGATGGTCCAAATTGCCCCCGCCGCGGGACTTGAATTCCGTTCGTGTCCGAGCAAAATATCTCCCCCGCTAGCGAGTGTTGTTAATTTTTAAATTTCTCTATTTTCGTAACGTGTGAAAACAATGCTTTAAAAATCAAATTTTATTTTCATTAAATATGCTTAGCGTATACTAAATCCATTAAAAATACATTTTCTAAATATTACGTTATAAAAACGTTGCCTCAAACGCATTCCATCCAATTGAAAAATGATTAAATTACGATAAGAAAATATTAATTTTTGTAAATTAACGAGTTAAGCATGTCAAATTGCGGCATACTGTTTGGGCATTTTTCCGTATTTATTATTTTTACCACGTATCTTGTATTGTAAATGGATCGAGTCGCATATTGTTAGCCTTACCTAATAATATAATCCCCTATTAATGTGAGTATAATTTGCCCAGATAATGCTATCTAGGAGGGGGGAATAAGAAACTTGGGAACTGGTAAAACCTAGGATGATCGCCAATCCTGATTTAATCCAAGATTCTAACCTTGAAACTAGCGGTTCCGCTTTAATATAAGAACGTTTAAGCCCACTATACCCAAATGTAAGAAAAACTTAAAATAAGCAGCTTGAGAACCGATACAATCTATGATGATTGATGGACCCGATTTAATCCAAGATTTTGACCTAGAAGCTAGTGATTCCACCTTACATAAAAGCCCACCATACCCAAATGAAAGAAAAACTCAAAAAGGAGAAAATGCCACCCTCCTCGCATTAATTCTCGCAAAAATTTCGAAAATTTCTTAATTTTCTACTTATATCTTCCCTTAAAAAACTACCTTTGTTTATATATTTTTATAGGGTGTATGGTCTCTATGCAAGTCTCTATGTCTACAAATCCCATGTTATGGCTAGTGGTGGGTGCCTTTGTCATGGTTTCCCTCAAACAGCCTAGGTATAGAGAATCAAAAAGTAGCATCTAACAGGAAACAAGGTGCCTAAAAGCAAACCATGTCCTATTTATTTATGTGTTTTTTGGGGGGAAATCAAGGAGTTTATATATAGAATAAAACGTGGTATTTTGTCTCTTGTTTGGTACTTGGAGAAATGGGACAACACCCACAACATCGAAATCAAGAAAAGGTTTGCTTCCATGGTAGTGAAATCCCACGTTTTTCTCTCTTGGTATCTCCAATGGTGGTGTCCGCTCTTTGCCATGATAACCAAAGATGGAGAAATTGGATCCTCACATGCAAAGGAGCAAAGAAATGATCGATGTCGTCATTTGCAAGTCATTCTTGTTTCTTGCATGCTTGCATTGATCGCGTATCGCGATGCATGAGTGACTTGATTATATCTCTCCTGAAGGGCATCATTGTGTTTTCTAAGTCATATTCTTTTCACCATATGGAAAATTTATGTTAGTTTAAAGGTTTCTTTTTGGGCGTGAGGGAGCACTTTGCTCATGTTACATCAAGTGGGGGATCGATCACTTCACAAACATGGAGGGTTAGAGGACAATGACAGTATATCGTGAAAATTTCTAGGCATCCCTAGACCCAGCAAACGGGTGGGTCAGGTTGGATCGAGAATTGTCAAACCTAAATTGACCCATTTAACCCGTTTTGATCCATTTCTATGCAATACAAATTTGATAACCCATACCCAACACATACCCGACCCCGATCTATATTGCTAAAACATTTTTATATATAACACAATCTAAAATACGTAGCAAGCAAGGACGAGAAAGAGTGAAGAGGATTCATGGAAGTGAGTTGAGTTTAAATAAGTTATGAATAAATGTGGTAAATGGGTCAAGAACCCATATATTAACCCATATTCAATAATTGTGGGTTATAAATGGGTTGGCTTTAGTTTTAAAAATAGACTTAAATGGGTCATAAATGGATTACCCAATAAGCTTAAGTGAATAATAAACATGTAATTTTCAATTTTTTTTTTAATTTTCTGATTTTTTTTTCATATTATTTTTATTCTTTTTCTTTTTTTTTGTTCCTTTTTCCTTTTCTTTTTTTCTTTTTTCATCTTCCCCCGTCGGTGGCCGGCCACAGGCGAGGGACAAGCTTGCCCGAGGCCGGCGAGCACGAGTCTCACTAGATCGGCAAGGCTTGATGCTAGCCAGAGGCCAGCGAGGCCTTAGCCTCGCCAGATCGACGAGCTCGAGCTTTGCTGGCCTTCAACAAGCTCGTCCCTTGCTTGAGGCTAGCTACCGGCTATCGTCGTGGCCTGCCGCCGGCGAGGGAAGAAGAAAAAAGAAAAAAAAAAGGAAAAAAGGTAAAGAAAAGAAAAATAATTAAAATATGATTTTTCATACCGGCGGAAAATATTTTCTAGTTCATTTTTCAGGTATCAGACAAATATCAGAAAATATTGTCATTTTCCAGAAAATATTTTCCAGAAATGTTATGTTTCCGCAAAACAAACGGAGCTTCAATTTTTTTTAAAAGATTTGTATTGTATGAAGATGTTTAGCAATAGAATTTTTTAAAATAATTATCAGAAATAAGCTTTCCTATATTTAGTTAAATGGGTCGGATCGGGTATGGGCATGGGTTGAGAAATTTGCCTTATGATAAATTTATCATAAATGAGTTAAATGGATTAAATTGGGTCGGATCATTTATAACCCAACCCAAATCCGATCCGATCCATCCATTTAACAGGTTTAGTTATGAATCCATTTATTCAACACCCAAATTATATTGAGTTTTCTTATTCTAAACTCATTTGTGATCCATTATTGAATAACTAACTCATATAACAATCTAGCTCATCAAAATGAGTTAAGAAATGAGTCATAGACCCATTTTTTACGGGTCTAGGCATCCCGCGTGCATGAATCGTTTAGCTCGACCCCTTGGTCTTTTGGGAGCTGCGAAACAATTCCAATGTATCGAAAAAGAATGACCCCTTCGAGTTATTGGCCTTAGATTTTCACCCCTTAGTCAAATCTCCACCAGGGAAAATGTAGGTTGATGCATTTGACTTTTGAGAATGATCGCGAATCGATTTGTTTGACTTCGATTGTAATCGAATCAAGTTGGATCGGCATAGTTTATTTTAAGTAGATCATGCTAAATCAAATACTCGACTTAAGACTTAAGCTCGACCAAGTCAAATTTTCGCAGTTTCCTCAAGCGCCATGAAAAGGGGCAATGATGATTGTTGCATAATATTTGTTCTAATATAATCACATGATATGTGCTTAATTTTTAGTTGTGAGCATAGATAAATTACTAAAATATAAATAAGTATTTGATATTATAGATTATACGTCTAATAAATTATACGGACTATTAAACTCATGAATCATGATTGATTATTAAAGTGGTAATCACGACATTCCCTCTAGTCTCGATTTTAGGGGCATTTTGGAAATTTTAATGCGACTCTCCTCTTGTTACATACGTCATTCGTGAAGCCAAATGGAATATTAATTATTTTTGCTAGAAGTTTGGACCGATTTTGATGTTGCGATGAAGCTAGGGGCGGGCTTGGACTTAGTCAAGCCTTTCGACCCGTGACGATGATTTAGCAACATGTGGTAGAGGCTTTCCCTAAGTCAAAAGCGTAGGGTGTAAAAGGATGGGACAATCAAACAAGTTAGGTGAGGAGACATGGATGCGTTCTCTTGGACCTACCATAGAAGGAATTTTAATAATTCCGTACATTGGAGAAGTTTGTCTAAATATTTAATACTCCACACTAGTATACCGGTGACTAATCTTATCCAAAATTAATATAAATTTACACTTGAACTTACCATGTCAATTGAGTTATTTTCATGTGTCATTTAGCTCAGCAATTTCACGGCAAATTTGCTATTTTTGGTAATCCCAAAATTAGTTTGGGGTAAATTTGTTACGGATATATCGATTTTGAGATTTTTTGTGCCATTAACTAAATATTTAATCAGGACCCCTCTAACGAAATCCATGCCTTATACTCATACACATCGGCGCATGATTTGCATCGAATATGACCGACAAGATCAACCAAAAAGACTCGACTGAATTACGAACTCGAAATCTTGACCCGCTTGACCGCACAAATGAAATTTCTCCGCACTCAATTTCTACCACAAGTTATTTATTTATTCGTCTATTTTTACTCGTGCCGTGGTTATTCCCGAGTAGAACTGATCAATGAGCGGAGTCCCGATCCGATCGCGACGCGCGGTTGGATCGGGCGTAGTTCATTGCCCCAAACACGCCCCATCGGGTGAGATCGGGATGGATCGGGCCTTATAGCTAAACACCCACGGTCTACCCGTGAACTAAAATTTGGGCCCATTTGAACCGGGCCGGCGCGGGCGGCGGCCCGTGATCGGGTCCCCGACCCGAGCGCCGACACGTCTAGGGTTTACAGCAGCTTCAGCTTCGCTGCGCCGTCTATTTAACTCCCCCCTTCGACTCTCAGATCGTCCCCACCCACGAAAACCCTCACGTTCTTCCGCCGCCTCGTCCTCCTCCTCCTCCTCGTCTTCTTCCGTCGCAGAGGTCTCAGATCTTCTTCCATCGTTCAGATGGCTGCGCATTCGCTCGTTCTTCTTCCCCCCTATTCCCGTAGCCATTAGCCCGGTGCGGTTGCTTCGCTCGAGTGGCGGCGGCGGCCTGTGATGCGAAAGAATTGTCCGTACCATCTGAGACGACCGTCTCTGATCGACACCTCAAAAGCTCTAGCTCTCTGAGGCCTTCGCCGCTCTCTCTCTCTCTCTGGCGCGGCTATTCTCGCTCTCGCTTCCGGTTCGATTTTTCTTTTCGCTTTTTTATTAGCCTCTCTTTTGGCGATTCGTTTCCATCGTCTGCGAATTTTTGGGGGGGAGGCAGTGATGATACGAAAACACATACCATCAAACTCTGAAGTCCAGATCATCTGGGCTTGTTGATGAGATCCGTAATCGAGATTCTCTGAGCCTTTTTCCCTTTTCTTTTGCCTGAAAGTTTTCCACTTCAGTTTTGATTTTTTTTGGGTGAGGGAGATGAATGGAAAGGCAACAAATTAGAGTCACTGTGACGCCTTTGCTTCCCATGGCGTATTCAGCGCTGTACGTTGCCGAGATCGACATGGAGCTGAGATTCTGGCATTTCGCCCCCCCTCTCCCGGGGCTTTGTGCATTCAGACGCTCCTACAAAATCTACTACCATAATCTCTCTCGAGTTCCCCCAGTTCTTGAAATTTTGGAAATTTTTAGAAGATTTTAGGAGATTCGGATTCGAAGATTTTCGCATTCGATCATTGTGAAAATTTTGTCGACCTGCGAGACTTAAAGATTTTTAATGAATTAAAAATTGAAATCTAAAAGTTAATTTTGACAAATTCGAAAGGTTTTCGAAGTAGTTGTAAATTGTTAATGTGGTCAGAACTGAAATGTTTAAAGTTCGGTAATGATTCATTAAATAATTTACATGAAAATCAAAAGACAAATGTGCAGAAAATACGTGAAGAGGACCTAAGGTCGGACCATGAAGTATGCAATCAATTTAAAGGGTTGATTCATTATACGTATACTCATTTTTTATACGAAGAGGATCTTAAAAAGAATCGCACCAATTGCATTTATAATTGGAATAAGCAATTTTATAAATTTTTATACTTATTGCTAATCGGGTTTTTCCTCATTTCAATAAATCTCTCTACATTTTTTTAATTAAATCATAATATGCGGGACGAACATAGGGTTTGATGATACGACATAATTCTTATCATGGACATGTGTTCATTCGGGTCGATCCATGTTAACATATTAAGTTAGACCCATCCGATGCTGTGAGAACACCTAGTTTCTGCACACAAAAGTGGATTGAACTTGGAGGATTCTCAAAAAGAGACCCAGTTAGACATCAAGGTTGTTTTCGAGTTTGAGATGGCCAAGTACGTTGGAGTTTCCACTGCCAAATGCCAGATTTTGTTTGAAATCAGTGATCTGGGCAGGGAAATTGACTGGAAATGAGATTTGGAAAAATCGACACTTCCTCTGGATTCGGACACTCAGATTTGGTGCTTAGTGTCAGAACAATAGTATAGTTATGGAAAAATTGCCCGTTCAATCATAAACTTATTATATGCGTATCAATTCAGCTATAAATTTTTCAATTTTGTTTTAAATCTTTGCTATAAATTTTTCAATTTTGTTTTAAATCTTTGCGCGAAATCTCAATGTAGTCATTCCAGCCAATTTTTGCTGAAAATCGCTAATGTGACAGTGTGTCACTATCGTTGATAACTGGATCGTCACATCAGTATTTTCAGATGAAAATTGACCGAAAAGATTACAGTGTGATTTCGCACAAAGGCTTAAGATTAAATTCACAAAATTAAATATGTTTAGGATTTTATCGGATAGGATTTTATTGGATAGTTTCTCCGTATAATCAACCAAGAAGCAAATGGAGGACCACCAATAATATTAACTCACAACACAATGCGTGAGTGCAAAACCGTTGAAGAGCCCTTTCCAGTGATATTTATGGGTTTGGGTTTGCATTGACACAGGAACAAATTTTTGGTATGAAAATGCAAGAATAAGATAATTGAGGTTGTTTTTGCAAGTAAGAATAGGACAATAATGATAGTCCTTTTGCTTCTAGTGACCAGTTTTGGTAATTGCAGGGAATTGTTGGACTAAATTGCAACATGTTCAAGTCAAGCACGTGCATAGAGAAGCCAACCAATTTGTTGTTTTTTTTATTCACGATGTACCTTTGCAGATTCAACGCGTTCTTTGAGCCGGATAGAAGGTTAGATACGCAACGAAGAAACCAGCGCTTCTTCGGGTTGAGTATAGATGTGGCAAAATGAATTTAGAATCCATAATTAATGATGCAACTTAAGTCTTAAAAACAGGTTTAAATAGGTCCAAGAAATAAATGCCTTACGCTTAAAATAAAAAGGAATCATCCCATTTCAAACCCATATGAAAAATAGAGAACTTTTTCATAGGTTTCTAGTAATAACGAATGCATCAAATGAAGTTGGAGATGTCATTTTAATTTTTTTTTAATTTTTCTGAATTAATTTATTGTATTTTATTTTTTTCTCTCTCTTTTTTTTTTTATGAAGTCCGACGAGGGTCGCCGACACTAGGCTCGTCAGCCATTGGGCAAGGGCCTCAAAAGCCCTCGCCGGTCGCAGGCGATGATCCTAGCCCTCGCCCAGATCTAGCGAGGCCCTTGCTAAGCGTTAGATTTTATTTGAAATTAGTGATTTAAACATGGAAATTGAATGGAAATGAGATTGGAAAATCAACACTTCCTCTAGATTCTGACACTCAGTTTTGGCGATCGGTGTCAAATAATAGTATTGCTATAGAAAAATTACCCAATCTATCACAAACTTATTGTACGCCTGTCAATTCAGTTGTAAACTTTTTGATTTTGTCAATTTAGTCCTAAATCTTTAAACGAATCCTAATGTAGTTATTTTGGCCAATTTTCATCATAACCACCGGTGACGATTGAATCGCTACGTCAGCGATTTCCAGTAAAACTTGATCGGAATGACTACGTTGGGATTTCGAGCAAATGTTTATGATTAAATTAATAAAATCGAAAAGTTTATGCCTGAATTAGTATATATATAATAGATTTAGGATTAATTGGACAGTTTATCTGCAAAGCAACCAAGAGGCAAATGGAGGAACTAACACCGACAATATCAACCCACAAAACAATGGGGAAGTGCAAAACCCTCGAAAAGCTCTTTTCAATGATAATTATGGAGCTGGGTTTGCAATTGCATTAACACAAAAACAGATTTTCGGTATAAAAATGCAAGAAATACAGTAAATGAGGTTGTTCTGGCAAGCAGGAATAGGATAGCAATGATGGTCTTTTGCTTCTAAAACTGACCGTTTTTCATAATTGCAGGAAATCATTGGACTAAATCGCAACGTGTTCAAGTCGAGCACGTGCATGTGTAGAAGCCAACAAATTTGTTGTTGTTTTTTTTTCTTCTTCGAGTCAGATTGGAGGCTAGATATGAAATGAAGGAACCGGTCCCTCTCCTATTCGGGTGGTGCGATGGAAACTGCTGTAAGCTTGTCTTAGAAACGACACCTTCGATTCACCAACATTCCATTTGTAAAATCTGTTAATTTTGATGTATCTTTCTCCCTTTTTTTCAATATGCATCGTAAAGTTAATTTCATGGTCGACACGGGCTCGGCGCTATTTCTTATAAGTTCAGCATTCGGAGAAATTGTTGCAAACAAGTCCATCGGAATATCTCTGTTTCACAAGTTTAATAGAAGAAAGGGGTTAACAATATATGGCAAAATTATATATAGTTAGAATAGTAGAGAATGTTGGTTTAAAATCGAGATTTAGTGATATTTAATGATATTTCTATATACTTATAACTAATTGTCCAAAAAATCATAAACTTATTGTATGGCGGTCAATTCAGTTTTAAACATTTAAATTGTGTCAATTTAATCCTAAACTTTTTGACAACTTACAAATTAATTATAAACTTTTCAATTGTGTCAAATTAGTTCTAAACCTCTCAATAATTTGTCAATTTTGATTGGAAATTCACGTTGACGGTTTAGTCGGCATTAGCCATCTATGTGCCATGTATTGATGTAGATAACTTTCGCTCTTTTTTTTAATTCTATGAATTTTTTTCTTTTTTTTCCTTTCCTTTCCTTTTCTTGCTTTTTTCTTTTTCCCTCCACCGGCTATCGCTGAGGCTCGTCGATGACTGGTGGAGGTCACTAGCCTTGGGTGATAGTCGCCCTTGCCTGGCCTAGCTAGGGCCGCCTTCACCTGGGTTGGTGTGGGCAGCCCTTCGCCAATTGGGCGAGGGTCTAACGAAGGGCTGCCCTCACTAGCCTAGGCTCAGGCCTCCCTTGCTTGAGGTCGACGATGACCAACAGAGTGAAAATGTAAAAAGAAAAGGAAAAGTTTAAAAAATTATAAAAATTATCCACGTTAGTACCAGGTGTCCTAGCGCCGACCGTGTCACGTAGGACGGCCGACGCTGATTAGACCACCACGTCAGCGATTTCTGGTAAAAATTGATTGTAAGGACTAAATTGGCAAATTGTTATATTTAGAACTAAATTGACAAATCATTAAAAATTTAAGGATTTAATTGACACAATTGAAAGATCTATGATTAAATTTGCACAATTGAAAGATTAAAGACTAAATTGGCTATCATACAATAAGTTTAGGACCTTTCAGACAATTTATTCAATTTATAAAAAAATATTTAAAGTAAAATAAATGGATTCAGACAATTTATTCAATTTATACAAATTTATTTAAAATAAAATAAATGGATTTACAATTCTTTTGAAAACTTTCAAATAAGGATAAATTTCGAACTAAAAATATATTTGTCAAATGAATAATTATAACTAATTTTCTTAGGTAAGGACAAGTATATTCAAAAAATTGTGAAAGAGATATATCTCGAGCTTTAGCTCAGTAAAAGATACTTCGATTATAATGAATAAAGATGTATTTCTAACATACATAAACTACCTTCTTGAACAAGGATTGGAAAAATTATTCTCGAGCTTTAATTATTGCTTTTTAACATGGACTCTCGAGTGACGGATTATCATATCACCAACAACAAACAAAGGATTAATGTGCAACCTCACTACGTAAATTGTAATAGATTCGAGCCCTTTTAAGAGTACAGAGCTGAAGTTAACAAGAATATTCGAACCGATTTTCACGAACGATGAAAAAAGCTACGGTGAAAATTAATTTTTCGAAATTATTATATCATTATATCTTGCGTCTTAATTTAACTTAATATCTTATGAGATGAGAAGAGATGTTTGGCCAAAGAAGAAAAAGAGATTTTTTTTTCTTTTGTGGAAGGGTTTTTCAATTTATAAAAGTACCAAAATTGCCCATATGCATAGAAAAAAAGAACAAAATTGTCCTGGATGTTGACTAAAGATCTACTTTGAGTGGACGAAAACGCCCTCCACGCGCCGCCTTATACCCATGGGTAAAATCGGGAATCCACCTCAAAGCCCTACTGTTACGTCTGCTTCAATTCATCATCATCTTCTTCAATTCGTAGATCTCAATCCAAAGCACAGAAAACCCAAAGAGAAACCTCCTCCTCCTCCGTCTCGCCATAAGCGCACGCGCATTCCGATTCTCGCTGTTCGTCGCCAATTGGGCTGGCGAGCTCGCCGATGAACAGCAATCTCCGAAGCAAATCGCGTTCTTGACGGCCCCGGTGATTCTCAGTTCAATCGGAGGTGCTGAGAATTTTTTTTCAATCGAGAAGTGTTCGTTCATGCGCTTTTGGGTTTTCGATTTTCACCGGCGGGGTCGATTTACCCTTTCTTTATGCTAAATTTGTCGGATTGTTGGGGGGTTTTGATGATTGTGCTGGTTTACGTGGTTTTTGGGATTGATTTCTGCGAGATTTATGATCAATTTCCCTTGGCGGAGTAGCCCGGTGGAGCTGAAAGCTGCTTGTGATTTGATTGACATGGAGTCGCATGTTGTCTGTTTACCTATTGGTTTAGTAAATTTGGGTGGTGGTGAAGTGCTGTTGTAATTTTCACCGTGGCGCGTTTCATTGCGGATTCTTTGATTGTAGTACCATTATAATTCGATGCATGACGCGCGATAAGCTGTTAGCTTGTGTTGAGTTCCAGAGTTCTGCGCTGACTGACTGACTGGAAAACTTGGGTGTTGTATGGATGCTCATGTTCATGTACCCAGTATAGTTTGCAAGGGCGTGCTGAATTTCGTTGATTCGTGTAGGTTTAGTTGCCGTTCGTAGAGTTCTTGTGCTCTGAAAGGTCGCCATGGCTGCGTCGGAGGAGAATAGTGCGCTGTTTCCTATTTTCATTTTGACTATAATGGCGCTGCCTTTAGTGCCTTATACCGTTATGAAGTTATGCCGTGCTGCTTCCAAAAAATCAAAGATCATGCACTGCCAGTGTTCGGAATGCTTGAGATCAGGGAAGTATCGCAGGTCAATATTCAAGAGGGTGAGTCGAATGGTTGACTTTTTGAAAGCATTTGTTGTTTTTGAATTGTGTGGGGGTTGAGTTTATGACTGCATGTTCTCTTTTTTCTTCATTGTTGCAGATCTCCACGTTTTCAACGTGCAGCAACCTGACGTTAGTACTTCTCTGGGTCGTGATGATATTTCTAGTCTACTACATTAAAAATATGAGTGGGGAGGTAAAATCTATGTGGAGAACTTTTCTATTGATCTATCTACATATGTATATGTCATCTCTTATTGCCATCATTGCCTATGAATCTGAGTTTCCTGAATGTCGCTTTTCACTGAGTTGTCTTTTTCCTGGCATGCATAGATTCAAGTTTTTGAGCCATTTAGCATTCTTGGGTTAGAACCTGGAGCCTCAGATTCAGAAATAAAGAAGGCGTATAGAAGACTTTCAATTCAATACCATCCTGATAAGAACCCTGATCCAGGTTGATAGTTTTACAAATATCTTCAAGGATGATTTAGTTAAATAATTCATGTATCCTAAGAGCTGACTTTGTATATATGTGTTATCAGAGGCAAACAAGTTTTTCGTGGAGTACATTTCCAAGGCTTATCAAGCTCTCACTGATCCTATATCTAAGGAAAATTTTGAAAAATATGGTCATCCGGATGGGAAGCAGGTAACTTGTTGTTTGAAGCTGTCTACTAATCTGATTAATATCCTTTGAGAAATCTTAAAATTATCCTGGTCTTGTGCAGGGATTTCAAATGGGTATCGCTCTCCCTCAGTTCCTGCTGGACATCGATGGTGCTTCTGGTGGAATTCTTCTACTTTGGATTGTGGGCGTCTGTATTCTTTTGCCACTAGTTATTGCCGTGATATACCTCTCAAGGTCATCAAAGTATACTGGAAACTATGTCATGCATCATACACTGTCCAATTACTATCGCTTAATGAAACCTTCTTTGGCCCCGAGGTATGTGGTCCTTTCTGAGTATATGTCCCATTCGTTTTGTTGCTGTATGCGTGAAGAGTTATGTTTATGCTATTGGATGTTAGTGATAAGAAAGACCTACCATTTATTGTTGCTATATACAAAAGGAAGGATGAAATTGTCAGTTTAAGTTGTAACTTTTGTTCTGATGGTAGGATGCTGCCATCGTTCATGCAGTTAACATGTCCTTTGTTTAACTTTTACTACTCTCTTTCAAGCATCTTCCTGATGTTGTAATATGTTTTTGGTGAACTCTTAGACCCGTCAAGTTGTATAACGCTCCATTTCTCTCGTCTACCATTGCTTGCAGCAAAGTTATGGAGGTCTTTATCAAGGCTGCTGAATTCATGGAAATTCCAGTCCGAAGGACTGATGAGGAACCCCTTCAAAAGTTGTTTCTATTGGTCAGGAGCGAGTTGAATCTGGATCTCAAGAACATCAAGCAAGAACAAGCTAAGTTTTGGAAGCAACATCCCCCATTCGTTAAGGTGAATGCAGCAAGATTGTCATTAGTAGCTTTCTGTCGAATTTTTTTTTTCAAGTGATTCGGCACTTAATAAAGATGTGCTTGGTGCTTTGATTTCTTTCAGACAGAATTGTTGATTCAGGCTCAGTTAACAAGAGAATCGGATTCCTTGTCTCCAGCTTTGGTTGGTGATTTCAGACGTGTTTTGGAACTTGCACCTCGGCTACTTGAAGAATTAATGAAGGTGCTGTTTAGTTACTTAGTGATGATTGGTGGGGGGAAGGGTTTATTCTATATGTAATTTGCATGCTTTCTATATAGAAACCATTTCTCTTGCGTCCTTCTTCATTCTTGTTCCTTTGTATTGGTCAGTATCTTGGCAGTAATTTTTCATGCAGTTCCATGCAGAAATTATTGAATCTTTTTATAGCTCTTTGCTTGACATGTGTGTTTCATATTATTAGTGTTACAAGAACTGAGATACTAGTATTTATGCTATATGAAAACCTTTTTGATCGTGTTGGTGTTCTTTGTTGACATATTGTGAAACCATTCAGCTAGCTTTTTATCCTCTTCCTCTCAGTAATGTTTTAACTTTTCATTCAGATGGCTGTCATTCCTCGCACTGCCCAAGGACATGGTTGGCTGAGGCCTGCAGTTGGGGTTGTGGAGCTTTCTCAATGCATTATTCAGGTGCTGAAGCTGAGAACTTAATCTTTATTAATTGTTGTCGTCGCCTAATTCCATAGATTTGGGTTGTCAAGGAAAGACACATTTGCCATTTATGCTTTAATAGTCTTGATGCATGAGTAAGTGATTATGAGTCAAGGAGATTGATTTTCAATCTTCTGAACAAATACTCTCTGCCTCTCTGTCTCTCTGTCTCTCTCTCACTCTATGTGCATGTGCATGCATGTGTGTGTGTTTGTTGTGCTGAGGTTCTGTGTTACTTGGAATCTTCTGCCGTGATCTCTGATGTCCAACATTGTGGAGAACTGAACTCAAAATATGTAGTTACATTAGTTCATTGAAACTTGAGTATTAGCTAGTAGCAGAGAGTTGTATGAAGTACAGATGCATCCATTGACAGTATGACGAGCAAAATGACAAATACCTGATGATCTGAAGGGTGATACTACAGGCGACGTTTGGTAAAACTGAAAAATAATTGCTGAATATTTAAGCTGCAAAGTTTATGTGTTAACCATTTCAAGTGCTGGAAAGAAAAAGCTGTTTGATATTAACTGATTGGTTGATGAAATGTTACTAATTTCTTACCAAATACAAAATTATGATTAGTATTGGTAAGTTTTAACAATATAATTGGCCAGATTCTAATAACAATCATTCATTTTCTATGGGAGGAATTTAGAAACCCTTACTTATCAGATTAAGTGAATTCTGACTGTAAATGCCAATTCAGCTTATGAAACCAACTTCATCTCATTGAGTGCTAAATTTTTAGTTTTCAGCACCTGATAGGGGTTATCAAACAGGCCTTAAGCCAATATTCACGATCTCAAAGGTCTGACGTGCACTCTTCTCTAATCTGGAGGCCGATTTGCCATTTACCTCTTTTTTTTATAATGCTCACTTGCCTTTGTTTTCTTTTTGCAATATATCTGAGATGTGGAGGAATGTAGAGTTGCACCAAATTTCAATGTACATTATCGCTACTAGATACAAAATTATAACTAATCCAGTGGAGCATGTGGGTGTTTTATGAATGTACTGTAGGCTGTTCCTCTCAGTGCAAAGAAGACAACTGGAGGATCTAGTGAAGGCATTGCACCTTTTCTGCAGCTACCGCATATCAGCGAATCTGTTATTAAGAGGATTGCTCGCAAGGTGAGTATATGATTGCTACATGTGTTGTCTCTGGTCAGAGATCTATTCTATACTATTCTCAGGTTGGTCATGATATGCCTGATGTTTGAGCTTAAGGCTATCCTTTTTTCTGTTAATTAAAATGAAATGTTGACCAGTTGTTGCACTTGGTGGAGTGACTGTGAGCCCATCCCTGAATCTTTTGTATTACTGGGATTTGTAATATCGTTTTCAATGAAAATTGGCACTTCATGATGCATTACACTGCAAGTCCTGCCTGCCCTGAGCAATTAGGAACCACGGCATCACGGATTTTTTTCTTCCTCCTAAGCTCCCTCTTTCTAAGTTCTTCACTCATTATCTTTTGCAGAAAGTGAGAACATTTCAGGAGCTTCGGGACATGTCTCTTGAGGACCGCGCCGAACTGCTCCAGGCAGCAGGCGTCTCCAGCACAGAAGTACAAGACATAGAGAGAGTTCTAGAGATGATGCCTTCTCTATCAATAGAAGTTACATGCGAGACTGAAGGTGAAGAGGGCATACAAGAGGGCGATGTGGTCACGATTCAGGCTTGGGTTACACTCAAAAGAGATAATGGACTTGTCGGCGCCCTACCTCATGCTCCGCGGTACCCTTTTCACAAAGAAGAAAGTTTCTGGTTTCTTCTGGCAGACCCCAACTCCAATGACGTTTGGTTTTCTCAGAAGTTGAGTTTCATGGATGAAGCGGCTGCTGTAAGTGCTGCCTCTAAGGCAATTGAGGAGACAAAGGAGGGATTGGGAGCAGATGCAAAGGAAAAAAGTAAGGCCATCAGAGAAGCAGTGGAGAAGGTGAGGGGTGGCTCGAGGCTGGTCATGGGCAAGTTTTTGGCCCCAGTGGAAGGGAACTACAATTTGATGTGTTACTGCTTGTGTGATTCGTGGATTGGCTGCGACAAAAAAGTGAACTCAAAGGTGAAAGTTCTCAAAAGGACTCGTGCAGGCACTAGGGGCGGCGCTGCACTGGAAGAGGCCATCGTGGAGGATGGGATCGAAGAGGAAGAGGAGAATGATGAAGAGGAGTACGATTACGAGAGCGAGTACAGCGAAGATGAGGCCGACGAGCAGGACTCGAAAAAGAAGGGCAAGACTGCTAACGGCACGGTGCCTAAGAAGGGCTCAAGTTCGGAAGGCTCGGGGACGGATGAGGACTGACCACAGTTCAATAGAAGAGACGGTGTGGAACTTCATTGTGTACTTTTGACCCCTTCTAGTTACGGCAAGAGTTCTCGATAGGTCCAGGATTGATAGTTAATTTATACCGTGGATATTGGTTCGAGCCAAATGATGATTACCAAAAGAATTTTGTTTATATTTTCCTGAGGCGTCTTTCTTATTCGACGGCAATGTTTCACCAAATTTTAACTCCATGCACTGGATATGACCGCATGGTAAACTTAGGAGAAGTACGAGGATGGAGATCTCGTTCTCAGTATTTTTCTCTACATATGTTAGTTAAACTTGCTTTCCTAAACATGGAGGAAATTACTTTTTCCTAATTTAGACTTTTCTTGCAAAGATGAGAATATGTTTTAACTTATAAAATTTGAAAAAATCGACATGTCTATATATATATTTATTTTGGGATGATATGAAAAGTTTTAGTTCGGGAAAGTTGCTAGGTTTTAAAATTTTAAAGCTACAATTTAACGGGGCTCTAAATGAACACTTAGTTCACCATTTTTTGCTATTAATTGTTTTTTAAACATGTACATAAATGGCATCCTCAAAACCGATACCTTACACGTCAATTCAGTTCCCCATAATCAACAAAAAAACATAAAAAATTGTCCTGCAGTGAGCCCGATTCTCAAAGTCTACCTACACTTAAACTTTGTTTCAAGATACCTTGAATTTGATTATTTTTGCCTCAATAAATTCTTTGTACTCATCCTGGTGAAAATAATTGCCCGTCGATGAACACATGCTTGTCATGCGCACGTATCGCACCTGGCGAGGATTCGCTTAATCCCTAAATTGACCTTACCCCAAACTTCTCACACGGAAGAAGTGCCCGACTGTGTTCACTTCAATCCATGACGTTGTCATTACCTTCTTAAATCCTTAGGGGTCCTTCATCCCCGATTTTAAAATTTTGCTTGTAAAACCCTTATCTTTTATTTTCGATCTAAAAATTGGGTCTTTTTTTTTTTTCGAAATTTTGCATGGAAAAATGTGATATCGATTGCTGACCAACAATAATCAAGGATGTTTTGATTAAAACATTAGTTGCTCTCCACAAATTAGCCAACGTTGGACCCTCTGCGACAATTTAGCAAGTTCTCTCTCTCTCTAAATATTTAATTATTAAAGTATTTTCAGAGAAAGGGTACAATGTCCGCAATGAGAGATCCCTACTATGAATCTGCTCAATTCTTCAACGTAGTCACAAATCACCATCCCCTAAGGAGAGAATTTCAATTTGAGATGTTTCTCTTGCGTGAGGAAAATATGATCTCTTTCTTTTTTGTCCTTTGATGCCAAACTTGAAAGAGGATAGATGCGAATGTACTTTTCTCTTCTCCCACCTCCTTTGCTTTGTCGCTATTCGTTGCTTTGAGCGGTCGTGGATGCTTTGTTCATTCATTCTATCTAACCATCTCCTCTTTGTCCCGCACATCGTGGACAAGCACACTGAAATGATATCTAATTCATTAATAATATCAAGTGCCTTTGTTAGATGTGATATGAACAAACATTTCACTAAGTTAATCATGAATGAGATACTTTTCTTCTACCACTTAATGCATGAGATATCTTATTTGTGTTCATTCACGGTATGATTGATTCACGGTTATTGTACCTTTTTGGGTTTTTAAATAGATTTTTTCTTCTAACGAACAAGTAAGGAACCATCTCAACATGTATATATACATTTCCCACCATTCTCTCCTATACAAGCTGAAATTATATTGAGAAAAGCGATAACGTTCAAACTAAGCTAAAACATGGCATTTAGCTCCATTTCAAATTTGTGGAACGAATGGAACATCCAAGGCTTCGTCATACTGAGCCTCTCTCTTCAGGTCTTTCTCATTTTATTTGCACATCGTAAAAAGAAAATAGCAAAATGCTGTGGAGGACGGGGTTGAAGAGGAAGAGGAGTACAATCACAAGAGCAAGTACAGCGAAGACGAGGCCGACGTGCAGGGCTCGAAAAAGAAGAGCAAGACTGCTATCGGCACGGTGCCTAAGAAGGGCCCGAGTTCGGAAGGCTCGGGGACAGATGAGGACTGACCACAATCGAGCAAAAAAGACAATGTGGAACTTCATTATGTACTTTGGACCCCCCTTCTAGTTACGGCAAGAGTTCTCGATAGGTTCAGGATTGATAGTTAATTTATACCGTGGATCTTGGTTCGAGCCAAATGATTACAAAGAATTTTGTTATATTTTCCTGAGGCGTCTTTCTTGTTCGACGGCAGTTGTTTCACCAAATTTTGACTCCATGCATTGGATCACGACCGCATGGTAACTTAGGAGAAGTACGAGGATGGAGATTTCGTTCTCAGTATTTTCTCTACATATGTTAGTAACTTGTTTTCCTGAACATGGAGGAAATTACTTTTTCCTATTTTAGATTTTTCTTGCAAAGATGAGAATGTTTTAATTTAAGAAATTTGAGAAAATCGACATGTCAATATATATATTTATTTCGGAATGATATGAAAGTTTTATTTTGGGAAAGTTGCTAGGTTTTAAAAATTAACGTGGCTCTAAATAAACACTTAGTTCACCATTATATGTTATTAATTGTTTTTTTTAAGCATATACAAGGAAGAGAAGTACAAATTTTCTACTTTTCAATTTGTGGAACAAAAAAGAGAAATAAAAACTTTTTATTTCTCTTATCTGAGGATTTATTTCTCTTTTTCTTCCCACAAATGGAAAAGTAGAAAATTTTTACTTCTCATTTCTGTTCCAAACCTATTTCTGGACTAAAAATTTATTTCAGAAATAGAAAAATAAAATTATGTTACCAAACAGATTTCTGTTCCAAACCTGTTCTCGAAAACAATAGAAAAACAGATAAACAGAATGATTATCATGCGCGCTCCCGTCAACTCAATTTCCCGTAATCAACAAAAAAAATATAAAATATTATCCTGTAGTGAGCCCGATTCCCAAAGTCCATCTAACACTTAACTTTGTCGAATTTGATTATTTTCGCTCAATAATTTTGCGGCTGGCGAGGATCCGCGTACCCCTGAATTGACCTTACTTGGGACTTCTCACACGCAAGAAATGTCTAATTGTGTTCACTTCAATCCATAACGTTTTCACTACCCTTGTTGGGGTCCTTCGTCCCCAAATTTTAAAGTTTTGTTTGTAAAACCCTTACCCTCTATTTCCAATCTAAAAATCGGTTGCTTTTTTTTTTCCCTATAAAAGTTTTCGATTGTGCAGAGAATTGGCATGGAGGAAGTGTGTTTTATTCAAACGAAAAATGCCACTAGAAAGGGCACGGGGTGTGCGCATGATGAGAACGTGATTAGTGCTGGCCAGCAATCAAGGTCACCGAAAATGAGCCGAGAGAGATAATTTAGAAAGCTCTCTCTCTCTCTCTCCAAACATTTAATTATTAAAGTATGTTCAAAAAGAGAGTACACTGCCCTCAATGAATGAGAGATCCCCACTATGAATCTGCTCGATTCTTTAAAGTAGTCACCAATCATCACCCAAAGATGGAAGTCCCACGAGAGAATTTCAATTTGGAAATTGTCTCTTGCGTGAGGAAATTATGCTCTCTTTCTTCTTTTATTCTTGGGAAAATTTCAAATAATGGCTTGAAATGTCCCCATTTTCTCAAATAAAGGTCCGAAGTAAATATGTCAGTCTCGAAGAAGGGCCTAACCTCATCGGCTGGTTAATGGTATTTTCGTCCTTTACTTTTTTGATTTTTTCTTTCCTTCTTTTTTTCTTTCTTTTTTTTTATTTCCTTTTCATTGCTGGCCAGTATCAAGCGATAGCCGATGATACCGGAAGAGGGCTGAGTGAGGCCTCCCTTGAAAGCCATAGACGAGGCTAGCCCTGGCCTGGGCAACCCTCGCCTGATTGGGGAGAGTAGCCTCACCCACGACCAGCGAGGACCTGGTTGGAGCGATCCATGCCAGCAGCCAGCCGGTGAGGCCCTTGCCTAGGACTTGATTTTATGCAAAAATCGAGTCCTTCCTCTAACTCCGTCAAATTTGACTAACGAAAAATGCTGACGTGATTACTTTAAAAATTTTATTTCTCCCATGTGGCGTTAAGGTTAACTAAAGCACTAAAACGACGTCGTTTTGATCTGAATCCTAATTTTTACACTAAATCTTAATTAAATTAGGTTAAAAAAACCAAAACTTTTTCCATAAAAAAGACAAACTCAAAATAGAAAAAAAAGCTAAAACTTTAAAAAAAATATACACACACATGCACGCAAAAGAAAAAACCCTAGTGGGAGGGCCTCCTACTTGTGGCTGCCGCCTTGGCAAGGGCCAACAACTTTTAGCCGCTAGAGGCGAGGGCCAGGGCCCTCGCCAGATCAGGAGAGGGCCATGACCTTCCCCCAGATCTAGGCGAGGGTCACAAGCCCTCGCCAAGTCACCGGCAGGCGGCCATGGCAACTCCCCACTACCCTCGTGCTTGTATTTTTATTTTAAAAAATAGATTTCTTAATTTTTAATCTAATTTAACTAAAATTTAGGTTTAAGTTGTCTTTGGACGAAAATGCTCTTGATCGGCTAGAATATTTAGCTGGCCGACGAGGTCAAGCTTTTATTTGAAACTGTCATGGCCACTTCAGGCCTTTGTTCGGAGCTTTTCCATTATTCTTTGATGCCAAACTTGAAAGAAGAGAGATGCGAATGTACTTTTCTCTTCTCCCAGCTCCTTTTCTCTATAGCTATTCGTAGCTTTGAGCCATTGTGAATGCTTTATCCATTCACTCTATGTAACCATCTCCTCTTTGTCCCACACATCATATACAAGTACACCGATATGACTTATTATATAGCATTTAATTCATTAATAAATCAAGTGCCTTGGATGAAAATGCCCTCGACTGGTTAGAATATTTAGCCTGCCGACGAGATCAGGCCCTTATTTGAAATTACTATGGTCACTTCAAGCCCTTATTTAAAATTGTCATGGCCACTTTAGGTTTTTATTTGAGAAAACGATGACATTTCAGGCCTTATTTGGAATTTTTTCTTTATTCTTTGATGCCAAACTTGAAAGAAGAGAGATGCGAATGTACTTTTCTCTTCTCCCACCTCCTTTGCTCTGTTGCTATTTGTAGCTTTGAGCCGTCGTGAATGCTCTATCCATTCATTCTATGCAATCATTTCCTCTTTCTCCCACACAACATATACAAGTACACCGATATGACTTATTATACAGTATCTAATCCATTAATAATATCAAACGCCTTGTTAAATGTGATATGACCTAACATTTCACTCAACTAGTCATGGATGAAATACTTTTCTTTTACCGTTTCATACTTGATATATTTTACTTGTGTTCGTTCATGGAATAATTGGTTCACAATTCTTTTACCTTTTTGAGTTTTTGAATAGATTCTTTCTTTTAACAAATAAGCAAGGAACCATCTCAACATGTGTGTATATATATTCCTCACCATTCCTCCTATTCAAGGCGAAATTGTGTAGAGAGGAGTGATAAAAAATTCAAACTAAATAAAAGCATGACATTTAGCTCCATTTCCAATTTGTGGAACAAATGGAACATCCGAGGCATCGTCATATTGAGCCTCTCGCTTCAAGTCTTTCTTATTCTATGTGCACCTCTTAGAAAGAAAATAGCGAAATCCCACGTCGTTTTCCTCTTGTGGTTGACCTATTTGATGGCTAATTGGGTAGCTACATTCGGGATCGGGCTCATTTCTCATAGCCAAGGCAATTCGTGCACTCGTGCAACAGGAGTAGACGAAGCACTTCATGCATTTTTGGCCTTATTTCTATTGTTACATCTTGGTGGTCCAGACACCATTACTGCCTTTTCTCTAGAGGATAGCTCGCTTTGGCGACGACACCTGCTCGATCTCATCTTCCAAGTCGGTGTTGCCATCTATGTTTTTTGGCAGATATTTCCTAGTGACAAGTCACTAGTGATCCCAACGATGATGGTGTTTCTTGCTGGGCTCATAAAAAATGCGGAGAGGACACTGGCACTCAATCTCTCGAGCCTTCCGAGGCTTAGGGAATGGATGATCATATCTAACGAGGTAAGAACGGATGCATGTTCGAAGTTAGCTGAAGAACTCAAAGTTCTAGAGAATGGATATTCTGAAGAAGAAGAAGCAAAGATTGACGAGAGCATTGTGGTGAAGCATGCTTACTACTTCTTTCAAATATTCCAGGTTTGCCTTGCAGATCTCATCTTCTCAAATGAAGAACGCCTCTTAAGCCGTGAATATTTCTGCAAAGTTTTTGCGATGAATGCTTTAAGGGTGATATCAGTTGAACTCCAATTCATGTATGAGGTGCTCTGCACAAAAGTGTTGGCAATACGCTCTAAGTGGAGCTACATTTTCCGCTTCACAGCCTTCACCGAGGTTGCAATGGCTCTCGTCCTGTTCAATCGCTTCAAGAGTCATCAGCTCCCTGAACTCGATGTGGAAATTACTTTTATCCTTCTTTACGGAGGGATTGCCCTTGATGTGATAGCTCTGTTCATGGTCATTTTCTCCGATTGGACTGTTGTCGGAATCATGCACTACAAAACAAGATCATCTAAACTAAATTCATTTCTCCATGAGTTGGTATCCGCCACGGATGACCTGAGGAAGCCCATATGTGAAGTAGAGCCTAATGCCAATGCTATGTACGCAGTCTTAGACACACCATTCATATTTCGAAGGTGGTCAGAATCCATCTATGCTTGCAACCTTTTTTCCGAGTTCTGTAAAAGGAGTTCAAGAAAGATGTATAAACGCGATCAGCACTCGGGCATCATCACTTTTTCAAATATCTGCAGTTTTTCAGTCCATGTGGCTGAGAAGATCAACTCTTGCTACCACCAAGCTCGTGGGATAATCACCGGAAGGAAATTATCAATCATTGTGACTCCGAGGTACGTGTCCAAGAATCCCTTTATTAAGAAGCTATGGATCTTTATCTTCAATGAGGTGAGACGTAAATCCAGAGACGTGCATAATCCAACAGAGGCGAGGAAGATGTTTGAGGCTAGAGGTGATATGTTTCTCCAGAGTAGACCGGAGGGGATCCATTGCGGCAATCTTATAGAGAATGTCACCAAGACTACTTACCACAGCAGTATTATAATGTGGCATATTGCTACTGAAATCTGGTACAACATAGAGATACCCACAAAAAGAAATGATGAAAGGGAATTCAGCAAGATCCTTTCCGACTACATGTTGTATCTTTTACTTAATCAGCCTGATGTGGTGTCTGCTGTAGCGGGTTTTGCCCAAATCACAGCAGCAAACATTTTGTTCCTGTTAGAGAACATCAGCGATGCCAAGGATGTGGAGGAGCTATGCAAGACATTGTACGAGGATACTTTTATTCAAATCATGCTTGCTAAAACCTTGCTTTGCCAGGGGATCGAGTTGGCCCAAAAGATGAGAAGCCTCGAGGAAAGGAAGTGGATGGTGATGAGCGGAGTTTGGGTTGAGATGCTGTCTTATGCAGCAGGTCATATTAAGGGAGAGGCACATATGCAGGTGCTGAGCGAAGGTGGAGAGCTTCTTGCCTTTGTATGGCTGTTGATCGCTCACTTCGGTTGTTTGTACAAACCTGAATGGGGCGTCTATGGGGAATATGTGTTCGGGACGGAATAGGAAACACAAAATGATGATGGAAATCAAGAGGAAGCTGATTGATTATGACCGAATGAAGATTTCAACCATTACCGAATTCTTTTGGTTGTTGCCAAATTAAAGCCTAGCTCTACTCTCCTTTCCATTCTAAGTATCTTGTTTTTATCAACAACTGGGTTCATTGATTGTTATTCGACAACCAGTTGAAAAATTATTCTTCTCTTCCATGAGAAGAATATGCTCCTTTTCTTTGTTTAATATTTGATGCTAAATTTCAAAGGGGAGATGGGAATGTACTTTGGCTTTTCTCCCACCTCCTTTGCTCTGTCGCTATTTGTAGCTTTGAGCCACCGTGAATGCCTTGTCCACTCATTCTACGATATCATCTCCTCCTTGTCCCACACCTCATTTGACCCATCGATCATCCAAATGAAGATGATTTCTAAGGTTCTAGGCTTACATGTTTATTAGGACAAGACGAGATACATTAGTCATGGCTTGTTACCAATACGGCACTCACGCACTCACAATTTTTCAACCAATTTTCCCTGGGTTGGTCTCGATCAATTGGATAATCCCATTTTAGAAGAACTATAGCGTTGAATTATTATCATCTAATCTCCCGGTTAATGATTTGCGAAAAATAATGAGACTAAGTTTTTCCTGTAACATTGATCAGGTCATCGGAAATACAACACAAGACATTACATAGATATCATCTTTTTGTCTTTTGAAGAATTAGATTGGAAATGGAGCTTTCCCAGAACCAAAATAATGACTAGTCAAGAAAGAATTTTCTCGAATGATATTCAATCAATAGATCAACTAGTTCAACTTCTCAATTTGTGTTGGTCTTCTCGGTTTATACCGTAAAATCAGTATTTTTGAAACATCTCGAGCGGAAAAAAAAGAAGGAACAATCTAATTGAGATATTATTCGTCATGTTAGACCTTTCGCATCTTGTGAATTCATTTTCTGCTTCTTGCAATTCATATCAGACATTTCTAACCCAAAATCGTCGATAATTTTACCACCTATGAATATTGACATGTTAATACGTATATAATTTTTCCTTTATTTGAAAAACTGATAAATATTAATTTTTGATGGGAAAACAACAAAAAATACTACTGACTTGTTCTTGAGTGCAGAAAAACAAGCCCTAACTCTTCTTAATTTGAAAATTTAGACAAATACGCTAATGGGGTATTGCCTTACATAAACAATAAGAGCTCTGCTTCGTGATGTTCTTAATGATCGTTTCAATGAAAATTCTATCTGGTTCTTGAAAGTGAAAGTTTCCGGAATTAATAAAAATTACAAAAACACGTTTGATTGTGTGATTTTCAAAGTTCAAAAAACGTATTTCAATTTGATCGGTATATTGTGTCCTCATTGAAATCACAAATTTAGTCAACAACTAATCTTCTCATTTTTAGTTTGTAGCTCGAAGGTTAAAATTCCGCATGTGATGGATCCTTACTTGAAAACAAATTTCTGACCAAATGCATTTTCAATTCAAATTTCATTTTCAAAAGAAATTAGACACCCGAATCATTTTCTTGTACCGACAAATTGGAAGACAAGACAGAATACTTTTCTTTCAAATGAATATTTCAAACGAGAGTAAAAGTCTATTGCTAGATTGAAAATACGCGTGTTATATTTCTACGAGGCATCTTTCTTATTCGACAGGACTGTTGCACCAAACTTGAATTCCAAGCGTGGGACATGACCACATGGTAACTAAGAAGAAGTAGCGAGGATGGAGATTTCAATCTCATTTCATTTTTTATTACGTCATTATCATTTCGGTGTCCCTAGCCCTTGCGGCTAGGTAAGATCTAGGTCGTGAGCATGGGTGTGTAGCGTTTTTCTCCGCATGTATTTGTAACTTGTTTTCTTAATCATAGATAAATTTACATTTTCCCATTGTAAAAGTTTCTGGCACAGATGAGAATGTTTTAATTTTAAAATGTGAACAAATCGATAAGTCAATATTAATATATTTTGGTATATTATCACAACTGTAAATACACCCTTACTGCTTACTATATTGTTATTAATGTTTGCGCAAGCATATCAAATGATGGCATTACCAAAACCAATACCTTACCCGAAATCTCAATTCCCCGTAATCAAGAAAATATATAACAAATTCTCCTGCAGTGACATCGATTTTCAGAGTCTTCCCAGATTTTATAACTTCTATGAACTGTCATCGCTAGTAAAAATAATTGCCGACCCAGGAACATTTGCTCGTCATCCGTACATTTGGCACGAAGCAGGGATCCGCTTACCTTCGAATTGAGCTGACCCCGAACTTCTAGCATGCAGGAAGCGCCTAGCTGTGTTCACTTCGGTCCGAAATGTTCTCATTGCAGCTCTCTTTGCACATCTACAGCGGTCCTTCATCTTCAATCTTTTAATTCATGCGAGGGAAATCCTAACCCTTTCTTTTCAATCTGAAAATTGAGACAAAATTGACGTTTTTGTTTTAAGGTTTTCGATCATGCACGGAAGGGGCATGGAGGAAGCGTTTTTTTTTTTCCGGGATGAAATTGCCCTTAGAAAGGGCGCGAAATGCATGCATGATGAAAACGCGATCTTTGGCCAGCAGTTAGCTTCACCGGAGATGAGCTCTGAAGATGATTTTGTCAATGTGATCGAATTCGGAGACATTTTAAAACAAAATCAAAAGTCTGGAGGAACTTCTAAAAACCAATGAGTCCCAACATTAGTTGCTCTCCACAAATTAGCCAATGTTGGACCCTCTGCTACAATCCAGGAGGCGCTCTCTCTCTCGCTCTCACTCTCTGTCAAGTTTATTAATTAAAGTATTTTTCGAGGAAGAATACAATGTCTGCATTGAGAGATCTCTTCCACGAAAATGCTACATTGTTCTTTTTCCCACCGTCGAATTCTGAGTTGTTTTTCTCCTCTCTAAATTGTTCTTCTGCTCAAATCTCTTCAAAGCAGTCGCTAGTCATCACCATGACGAAAAGAAAGGAGAATTCCAATGTGGGAAATTTCTGTTCCGTGAGAAGAACATGCTGTCTCTTTTCGTTTTTATTACTTGATGACAAGATTCAAAGAGGAGATGTGAATGTACTTTCCTCTTCTCCCATGTTCTTTGCCGTCGCCTTGAATGCCTCCATCCATTCATTCTATGAAACCATCTCCTCTTTTTGTCCCGCACATCATTTGACCCCTCAATCATGCAAATGAAAATGTATGTTTATTAGGACATGACCTGATATGAGCGATAACCGACTTATCTTATACAAGTACGCTCATATGATTTGTTAGATATTATATAATGTTGTGTCTAGTGCAACGTAGAAAGGGGTGAATAGATTGATTATTAAAACTTGATATATTTTTACGGAATCATTAAAATCAAGTTTGATATATTTGGGATCAGCTTAATATATGCAATAATAAGCTGATGATATCAAGTGTAATATCCTTCTATCAGATAAATATACAAATAAGTAAAGAGATACCAGATGTTGCACATAAATTTTATAGTGATTTGTCTTAGATCAAGCCTAAGTCTACTCTTCCAAACTAATTTACTAGCAATCTTTTGAGTAGGTACGACGTAGCCTATGCTGCTTTTACTCGAAGCTAGTAGTTCACACCATCAAATCTCACGCACTACGACAACATTCGTACACTTCTCAAAAGAGATTACAATCAATTACAAGTACTCCTAGTAAATGAACTTGTCGGTCACAACACAACAAGAGTATAAATGTACACTTCTCCACTTGAGTCGCTCTTATCTTCTTCAGCATGCATTGATCTTCTTATATAGTCTTCAATCTTCAAAATATTTAATTTAGCCATTGAAAATAATCAACACAATTACTAGGAGATCTGGCCGCTCATACAATCAAATCTTTCAAGTAAGGATGTAGTTTTCACGAATAGAGTTGGCTATATTAGGAAATACTCCTTTTTTTTTGTCTGTCCTATTTTAACTCTCAACTCACTCTCAAACTTTTGCTTTGTCTCTTGTAGGGCGTGACAGTCGAAACCTACATCTGAAACTATACGTCCCCACTCCTAATCTCCCTTGAGAAGGTGAGGAATCGAACTCCTCACCTCCCCCTTCCCAAGTAGGAAGGGTGGCCACTGGGGCAAACCCCAGTAATTGAAAAAATCCTTTTCACAAGTGATTGATGATTGATTGGATTCTGCTTCGTTTATTCTTTCCAGAGTTCCAGGTCTAAGACTTGTCAAAATTCCTTGAGGCTTAGATTGATAGCAAAAAGAATATCTGAGTCTTCTATTCAAAATGCATGAACTTGTGAATCGCACGTTCATCTCACATGATATAGAGAGAACTGCTCATATCAGCGATCCATGAGTATCGAAGCAATCTGTTGGTAGTTGACTTATGTACAGCTTTTCATTTGATCTTTCTAAGTACATTAGTGACCAAGGCTTCATAGAAATGTTCATGTCATGGTACCTCCAATTATCTATGAACTATGTGTTCTTCCCAACTTGTTCACCCTCTATTAAGGTTCATCTAGTATTCATAGTCTTTCCACTTTTTTTTTTTGGTGTAAAATGTAAGTATTATTTATAATTTGACGTACATAAGCTTAGGGGTATTCCCCAGCATTACAAATAGAACTATGCTCACAAAACATGGAGTGTATATTGGCCAATATTTCATTTGCCTAGGAAGGTTTAATAGTTTTGTAGTGCGAAGCTTGCCCTCTGACAAGTTTACGAACTTTAGCTAAGATAATGGGGGCATCATTTGACTTATGTTCTGTGGTTACGCTTCATCCAAATGCAATAAATGGTCACTAGAAAAGATATTTTGAGAAGTCTTGCCACCAAATCCTTTCCTTTGGTAGCACTTATTATCCATTGAAGTCCTCCTAAAAACTGCTAGATTCCGTATTGTGCAAGGATAGTATGCCAAATGCTTCTAGTCCAGGTGCACTGGAAGAATAGATACTCTCTGCTTTCCATACTAGATAGATAGTGGATATCTACTTTAGGCATCCAACATAATACGATTTCTGCCGTTGGTAGTCTATCCCTACAAGCTAGCCAGCCGATAAAGTTGTGCTTGCTGACACCGCCTTTCCAAATCAATTGGTACCATCCCACAGTCGGTCCCACTCTCCTGGTTTCATCGTTTATCTCTTGGCAACAATAGCTTGGCCTAGATATAACTGAAGCTAAAGCCAGTCTCAATTGAAGAATACCATGCCAACTCCAGTAGTCTTTCCACTTTGTACTTGATTATATCAATGGTGATAGAGCATTGTTCATATAATTGTAACTTGAAATAAAACATGTTTGCATTTATCGATTAATAGTGAGAAATAGATGATTTTGTCCATTTCA